TGATGAACAAGATAATGGAGATCATGGTATCAGTAATAATACCAGGAAAGAAACTAATGTGGAAATGAAGGAGATAGCTAATAAATACTATTGTAATTTCTGTGCGTCTGGTGGATGGGATAAAAAGGTGAGCCTTTCACAGCATATGAGACATAGGCATCTTAACAAGTATAATGCCACTATTGAAGTTCCGATGAAAAAGCGATTGTGGACTCGTGATGATATGTTGATATTAGCAGAGCTTGAAGCTAATCTCACCTCCATAGAGGCGATAAATTCGAATTCAGCTCTTGCGTTGAAATTGCCATCAAGATCACGAGAAGCCACAAAGAAACGTCGACAAAACGACAGAATACAAGACGCCGCTACAACAGGTACGTGAAAGTAAAGCAACAAAAATCATTGAAGAGTCTAATGATTCCGAAGAATCAACAATTGTAAATTCACTTACTATCGCGAATGATAGTATAAATGTAAATAATAATTCCGGTAATCACAGCTCTAATGACAGATCTCAAGATACTCAAATAGGAACTAGTAATGAATTTTATCCCGATATTCGTCAGTATATAAAAACCAATATCGTGAAGGGAAGAATTCGATTATGTCAAACAATGTGTGACGCTATGACGCATTATGTCAATGATGTGACAAATTCTGATCCAGTCAATGAGTCACTGATTGGAATACATCAAACGACGAATAGTGTTCAATCGTCTCAATCACACAAGGACGATAGACAAACAATTGAGAGCAAACTACGCAGCGCAAAGTCAATTGCAAAAGCTCAGAAATATGCGCATCACCAACGTTTATTTAAAAAGGACAAATCGAAGTTAGCGTCAGAAATCTTCGACGGTGTTGATAATTCTGCACTCAAACCACCTATGTCCGTAGCTCACGAACACTATCGAAACATCTGGACAATTGATACAAAGGATGCTGTTTCATTCAAACCACAAGCCTCGGTAGGATCCGACGTTCTTCTTGCACCAATAACCCGCGAGGAGATTGCCTTGGCGATAGAACACACAAAGAATGTTACAGCCCTAGGTCCAGATCGACTGTCACTAACAGATATTAAACGTATAGCGAAGAAAGAACTATGGTGTGCATATAACATCTGGCTTGGTCGAAGACAGATCCCTGATCCACTCAAGATCAATAGGACTGTTTTACTATCGAAAGGACAGGATGAACTAGACAATATCAAAAACTGGCGTCCAATCACCATAGCATCACTACTAATCCGCTTATACAATAAAATATTGGCACGTCGAATGCAATCCGTATTTCGCAACAATTCAAAGCAGACCGGCTTTAAATCAGTGAATGGTGTAGGTCAGAATGTAGCTCTCCTTCACAATCTATTAAGACATGCACGTACCAACAAGAATAATCTTTTTGTGTGTCTACTAGATGTGAGCAAGGCCTTTGATTCAGTATCTCATGACTCTAGGATGGGTGTGGGGTAGAAATGAATAGAATACCCACACCTACATCCGGTAAAATATGGTGACAACCGATAAAGCAATACACAGGCCGTTTAACACGCCGCTTCCGATGGTTGAAGTGATCGTCCTGGGTTATAATTTTAAAACGAAATCAACCAAAATGAACTATAAAAAATGTAGCTATCAATGCAATGATTAAATAAATATTTTTTTTGAACAAGAAACTTGTGAATTTTCTCTTTTGTTTGTTTTTTTTCTTTGTTTTATATTTGAATAAATAAAATAATGATAATGCCTTCAAAACAAAAAACTTTGTTATATCAGATATAAATGATATTTTATTACAATTTTAACTTCCACATAAAAACCTCACTTTATAAAACAAGCAAAAAGAAAATAAGCTAAAACTAAATAGAGATTAATCTTATTCTTTTGAATTTGCATTAATAAAGAATAACGAACTAATTTTAGTCATTGCTGACGAGATACAACGATAAAAACTATTCATGCATGATAACTTTGCGAATGTATATTGAGAAAACTCTCGCACAAAAATAATAAAGACTAAAATATAAAGCAGTCTTCGATATACTCCCCACACACATTGAACTAATCTTAAGGGGTGGATGTGGATGTGGGTGAGAGTAATGAAAGATAACACTCACACTCTCAAAATACTGGACATGCTCTATGGTAGAAATGAACTAGTTATAATAAATTCAATCGTACATCTGCAACTGAGAATATATAAACAAAAAATGAAATGATAGCAGGTTCATAACGATATACTACAGGCTAAGTCTCTTTTGTGCTCTGGTAAGTTTCCTTTAAAGTGTAGTTTATTGTTTCTGTATAGAAATTTTTATTAGCAAAAAATCTTACAAGAAATTAAATCAGTGAGTAAAATGCAACAATTGTTCTTTTATGAATGATTATGTTTCAAACTACAAATAATCTCTCGTGATAACTTTTTTTTTACAATGATTTATATAGCTCGGCAGTATTCATGGATCCTCTATCATATCCACCTGCAGCTAAGATTGTTCCATCTGATAATATAGATGCAGTGTGATCACTTCGAAGATGATTCATGCTTGCAATAGTTGTCCAACTTTCTGTCAGTGGATCATACAATTCAACACTATTAAGAGAATTGGATAAATATCCACCTGAGATTAATACTTTTCCATTTGATAATACGGATGCTGTATGATCAAATCGCCCATCCTTCATACTACTAATAGCAGTCCATGTTTCTGTATTTGGGTCATATAACTCAGCAGTATTTGAAGGACCATCTTGTGTTCCACCAGTAACTAATACTTTTCCACTTGCTAATGCAGATGCTGTATGGCGTTCTCGCCCACCTGTCATATTACCAGTATAAGTCCATATTTCTCTTACAGGATCATATAACTCTGCAGTGTGCTCATTAGGATGTTTACCTCCACCAGCAACTAAAACTCTTCCGTCTCTTAACACGGTTGCTGTATGATGTTCTCGTCCAATATTCATGGTACTAGTATTTGTCCATGTCTCTGTTGATGGATCATACAATTCAGCAGTATCTAGATGTCTATCACCATAAAAGCCACCTGTCACTAATACTTTGCCATTCGGTAGTACAGTTGCTGTATGTTCAGCTCGTGCATACTGCGTTGAATCAGTAACTGTCCAATTACCTGTTGATGGATTATATAGTTCACTTTCCGTTATATAACCATGAGAAGATTCTCCACCTACAACTAATACTTTTCCATTTGTTAATACAGATGCTGTGTGAAGTTCTCGTTCAATAAGCATACGACCCGTAAGTGTCCATTTGCCTGTTGATGGATCATATAACTCTGTACTACTTAGTTGATACTGACTTCCTAATCCGCCAGTCACTAACACTTTTCCATCGTTTAAAACAGATGCTGCATGTCGATATCGCGTAGTAGTCAGGTTACCAGTGTTATGCCATACTAGATGGGAAATAAAAGAAAAACAATAGTTTCGATAAATGTTTCTCTATGTATAATTAAACATTTTTTTTTCGATAAAAACTTGTTGATGTGTATTGAATGTAACCTTAGTATTATATATCCGTTGCCATCTGTACTCAACTCGACAATTCAATACCTATCTATTCAATACTATTGATGTACAAGTTATCATGGGACAGGCACAAACTGAAAGGTCCCCAGTTATAAATTCATTGGATAGAAAAGTAGCATATGAAGAGTTGAAGAGTGATATTGTAAAACCTACCTAACTGTTGAGTGATGGTTGTTGTAGTTATTGTTGTTGTTGTCGTTGTTGAGTATACTTCTGTTGTTAATGATGATGATGTAGTAGTAGTAGTAGTAGTAGTAGTAGTAGTTTCAGACTTTTCCGGTGCAAAAACAATAAATTTTAATATCAGCGATAGTGTAATTATAGCGATCACTAGAACAAGAATAGATATACCGAGTTTAAATCGACGATTCTGCCACCATTGATATCTCTTCAATTGTGTAACAGTACTGTCGCTGAATGTTGAATTACGATGCATGCTGTGCCTTACCAAAAGCCTTTAGCTAAAAAACTACAATATAAGGTATTATTCTGTTATTCTCATTCTCTAGTAAATAAAGATAAAAGATATCATTTGGAGCACACACAGTCATGCTTTGTCATATGATAAGAAAGTATATTGTAGATGCACATGTTTGATAATGCAAAATCGTTCTTTTTTTGTTCGTATCAACAACTAGGGTGTGGGTGAGAGTGATACATTTATTCTTAAGCATAGTTACGCTCACATCCATCCCCATCCAAATCCTTGCCATCATCCACACCCTAGAAAGAGTGTATTTATTTCGGTATAGATCTTAGTTAATTTAGCACTCGTGTCACAGTCCAAGTCTAATCGTAAAATGAACTTCTCTATTCTATGTTATAGAAAGAAAATGACTTCAACGAATATGCATCTAATTTTGACTATCATATTTGCTTAAATGAATCTAAAATTGAAGATAACGTCAGTTTCAATATTAATGTATATGTATGATAGAGAGATCACACTGCTCGTTGAACTTTTAACTTCTTTAAACAAAACTGACGAGACAAAGTTTATAATATCATTATCACACAAAGTAGCTGTAACTTCGTCAAATTTGCCTGACGAATATTATAATTTCGTCGAGTATTGTAATTCATTTGGGATATATATATATAACATAATCAAACAAAACAATAAGAAAGATACAGAATTGAGTATAAATTGTAATAAACGTTTTTCTTTCATTCAAGATATAATTTATCTAGGTAGAGTTTGTTTTCATTTATAAGAAGAAAAAAATAATTAATGTTAAATTTTATTTACGTTATTGAAAAGTTTCACTATTAAATCTGATTAATTTTTTCATATTGAAGTTTTCTTGAATGAATTAAAGTTGGTTTTATAATTAGTTATAATGTCGAGATAGAAGCTTTTTTGTATGTAAATAATGAAATGATTGATTATTTTTTTAGATACAAATGACGAGAAACTGTCGATATCTTGATATTCTTTTACATGCACATAGAAATAAATTCGAACATCCAAAAGAAAAATTGATTCTTTTGGTTCATTGGACTTTTTTAAGTAGAGATTTTAATATTCTGAGGAACAACGAAGTAAGTACTAATTGTCTTTTTTTTTGATTTGTTGCACTTATATTTCTTTGTAGTATAATCTAAATATGGATGAAATAAAAAATGAAAATAATTTAACAAATGTTGGTAACAATCCACATGCTTTGCTCATACCCAAGGTAAGAATGAATTGGTTTTTTCCAGTTGATTAATTTGTATAGTTTTAGTTTCAGAAAACTATCGATCCGAGAAAAAATGAAACGAATTCCGTCGATATTGATTATTTTAACGACAATTTCATCATACATACAAAACAATTTTTTGATAATGAAAATTTTTACATTGGTTTCAACACAGTAACTATAAATTATTACACATTATCTTCAATTCTTTTTCATTTTCTAGGATGTAAGTAACCAGTTACATTTTCAAATTCCTGTAAATGATATTGTTAATGAAAATGATGGGTAAGTTTAAAAGATACTTTACGAACTAATTAACGAAAAAGAACAAATGTTTCTTCTCTGTAGATCTTTAAAATGTGTGGTTGACTTCACCGTTGATGTTGCAGGTGAAATTTATGAACTTATAAGACGGCAGAAGAGGATGGATCGATTTAAAGAAGAAGAATTAGGAAAACGACAATAACAAAACATTACTTAATAAGTAAAAGTGATAGTTAAGAATATATATATATATTTAATGTTTGTTTTTTGTTTTTCTTTCGTATACATGTATCCTTATCAATCAACAAAATATTTTAATATAATCTCATGGTTTATTTTCTACTTTACATATATAAATAGATAAATAAATAAAGTAAAACATTACCAGTTAAAATAGATTCTTTTGTAAAAATAAAATTTATTTTTGTTTTCATCTAAATAAAAATTGAATTTGATTTAAGAAAATGAATAGTGAGAAAATTATTTCAATATTTCTTGAATAATTCGATCAGATTTTGATCTATTCAAATAAACTTCTAAAAGATTTGTCGTCCAATTTCCAAGAGAAAAGCTTGTCTATTTCTTTATCAAAGCATTTCGAATGAATTATTTATGACATGAAATAAGCGAATCTCTCAATTATTGTACTGTTCGAATTTGTAATAGCATATGATTTTAACTTTCAATTAACAATTTATTCAGTTGTCTTCATTCTACCCCAAATAGTTACTAGGATCGAACTAGATTTTTCGTCTTTTACTCTTTTCTTTCCACAAATTGTTTGACATATATACGTGAAAGTAGTGTGTATGATCAAATTCATATAAAAAAACTTAAAATTTTTTTAATAAATTATCTTACGGAAATAAAGAAAATACTCAATCTATTTACCAAAAATATTATTTGTATTTTTGAAATAATAAATAATGGAAATCTTTAAAAAATTAAAAATTATAATGATGATAAATCAAGTGACTATTCTTTTTTTTTAATCGTAAAAAATTTCGAAATATGTTTGAATAATGTACGAATTCATTTGTAGTATTGTGAAAAAATTATCGAATAGAACTTCAGTTGAACATAAACTAATTTCTCTTGTTATAAAGAAAATATTAGTTTGACTTTTTCATTATCTATCAATATTTAGCTTTTTTCCACAATTATTTTTAATTTTCGATTCAAATAGAACTTATTGTTTCAAACTAAAAGCTATAAATGGATAATTAATTTTAAAAAGTCTTTTGATAAATACACTGTTGATCAACAAATCATTTTCAACGTAACAGCATAAAAAACATGTTTTCTTTCTTCAGCGTGCAACTTTAAAATTCTCAAGTAAAAAATAAATACTGTTCAAATCGGTGTGCTACATTTCATGATAGAAAAGCTTTGAGTAAAAACACCTTAAAAAATGATTTATTCAATATGAGTTTTCACTACATAACCTTGAACATAAATATTATCAATCGAAGTAACATTACTATCATCTTGTTGATAATCATAATGTATTAAATATGTGATTTGAATTCTAAAAAATTTGATTGCTGAAAGTATTTATCAGTGACACATTATGAAATCTATATCAATTTATTCGACAATATATATGATTTCATGTTATATCCCAAGCATAACAACTGGCTCAAATTTTCTTTTTCATGATAGTCTAATAAAAAAGACATCGTTCGAAAGAGCATGAAAAACTGAATACGATGACCTAATTTTGAGAAAAAGGTACTCGGAAATCTCTAGAAAAAACTTTTAAAATATATTTACAGACAAAATATTTGAGGTATATATATAATTCTTTTCTTTCAATAACCTATATTGTTTCGTTCTCTATATATATTATAGTTAATAATTGATCGATAAATGCTATAAACAGATTAAATATTTTATATCTATTATATTTTGACTTTTCATTTACAAATTGAAAGACATTGTTAGAAAATAATAAACCAACATGATGAACTGAATGTGCTCAGAAAGAAAAATAGTTTTTCTTATGTCAAATATTTTTATTCTCATTAATTGAACTTTCCAAAATAAATACCTATATGATATGTTAACTAAACGAATTTATTGTTATTGAAGTTTTGACAAAGTAATTGCCAAAGGAGAGTAAGTGTATTTGAGTACAGTTTTAGTTCTTGTTTCTGATCTGAAGAAAAATTTTAAATTAGGATTTCCCTTATAATGATATAGGTATCTACTGATTGCGACTATATTAATAAAGTAAAACTAAATTAGTACTCTATCACAATCGAGATGATACACGCTTTTATTTAAAAATTAAAACTCAAAGTAAATACAGATATTAATAGTAATCTAAGGAAACTCGTTTTAAACGTAAAATAGCCAAGAAACGCAGTTCAATATACTACCTTAAATATAATAAGGTCATGTTAAGCATAACTGAGAAATGTTCAAAAGTATTTATCTTTAATTGTAACCATACAATCAAACTTATTAATGCACTCAGTAAAAATCAACGACTTGAATCTGAAAGACTCAAGTGAGAATGACGCAAATGATCTAGAAAGTCGATTAATATAGGAAAGAAAGGATAGATCGAACTGTTTTAAATATTATTTGTAATTAGTTTTTAGACGATAAAATTCATTTTTTTCCATCAAATAAGAGACATTTGAATGAAACTCTGTAGTTTTGATGAAATCTGTAAAACAAAAATTTTAAAACTTTAGATATTCCTTAATGAACTTTGCGACATATGTAAAGCGTATTAGAACCTGATGTATTTCTTAATAGTAATACTACGTTCTGAGTTTGTATCAGATTTAACTTTTTTTCCAAATAGAGTCTGACATCAAATGGAAAAGCGTGTGCTCTACACGATTCTCGAGCTTTGATACAGTCGCAACAGATCACTCATTCTGTTCCATAAAGATTTCCAAAATCATCGTGATTTTAAAAAAATTTATGAGATCTTCATATATAGAGTGTTACAAAACCTTTACGCCCTTCAACAGCTTATAGAAGAAATGATATAACCAAGCATTTTATACTAGTTGATTCTTCCATTCAAAAAACAAAGAATTTTTTAAATATTTTTCAAGATCCCAAGTGGTTATTTGAATTATTTATCTGAGAAAAGAAGGTCTAAATTTTTTTTATATATACACTTTTGTAGAGTTTGATGAGCTCTATCGACTCGTATAAAATGCATGGTTATATCATTTGTTCTATAAATTGTAGAGGGAGCATAAAGATTTTGTAATATCCTGTATATAAGATTGAAGCAGGTTATTTTTTTACATATGAGATGAAAAATTTATCATGATTAAACTAATGTTGAGACATATTGTCAAGTTAAATACTGTACATTTTCATATAACACCTCTATTTTTATCTTCTATTAAGTAAATTGACGCTATACTTGTTATGAAAATAAATATCCACATGGTTTCATCAAATTTTCTCTCGAATTTCGTTTTAAAACAAATGACAATAAGGATAAACTGAGAAAAAAATTTAACAATATGCATTGAAAAAAGGAAAATATTATTCTAACACTAAAGAAACTGAGTTCCTCGTATATATAATTCTATATAATTTTTAAATAAATTACCGAACTCGATGTTTACTAAAAGTCTAAGATGTCGATAAAGTTTCTCGTTTGAAAAAAAAAGAAAATTGTTTTTTTTAAACAAATATTTATTTAAACATTAATAACCACACTTTTTACAATTTTTTGTTGTTTATTGTCTAGTAAAATTATGAGTCACTCGTGTTAATTGAGAATATTCTACTAACAGTAGAATATTCTGACCTAGATGAATTTTATGTTCTTTTGAAAATTGTTCGAGATAGTCAACTTGGGCATCATCCAAATTTCACTGGTTTAAATAGTTAAATTGAGCAGCTGAATAATTGTTATGTTGTGGGTGTGGGTGTGGCTATTCTGTTCATATCAGACCCACACCTACGCTACGCCCTCACTCACATTTTTTCATAGAAATATTTGCTGTCCACTGCCACAAATATCAATAATAATGAAATCTAAAATAGAATAAAGCAAAAAATTCGATGACTGAATAAAAGAAAAATTCATAAGTTACTATTGATAGTTGTTCAAGCGTTGGTTTTGATCAAGTAATTGACGGTGCACAATGTCAGGTCAAACATTCCAGCACGAAAACGGCTGGTGTCTGTGGAGCGGATGTCGGTGTGTGTGAATGTGAGTCTCTTCCACACCCACACCTTCAAGATGAATATTGGCTGACTAAACTTAGCAATCTTTGTTCTTAATATTTTTAGTTCGAGCATTCATTTAATGTCGCTAAATGTCTGCCATTGCACTTACAGCATTTAATTACATTACTAGCAACAGTACATTGTTCAGTACGACGATTATCACCGCATTGAGCACATAACTGCTGTTTTGCTTTGCTGTTTCAGTTACAAAGTGCATCGAATCAACTTGTTGACTTGTACGTACAACTTTGTTTCGATTTTGTGCATCATTAAATATAGTTTTAATCGTTTTGATTAGTAGCCTTCGATCTTTATTTGTTAATCAAAGAAGATCAATAGCATGAAGGCCAATGTTCTTTAATGCTTTAATTATTCCACTTTGAGGAATTTCGATGTCGACGTTTTTAACAAATGCGACTTTTTCTGTGTTTTGAATCCGTTGAATAGGTTGAGGCACATATATTTTAACTGTATCTTCACCATTTGTTACAAGTATTGGTATATACTCATTCAACAGACGAATGAACAAGTTTACATTAGCTGCATATATTGTGAATATTCCTGTTCGACTTAGCTAAATATCATAAACTCTCAAGTCTTTTAAGTGTTGCTTAATAATACCATTTAACTGCAGCTTATTTAATTTCACTCCCTCTAGGATTAGACGAGCGATATTGAATTTTGACTGACTTGCAAAGCCAGTCTTTGTTCCTGGAAAAGCCTTTGTTATTTTTGCACCCTAGTTAAAAACCATTGTTCGATCAATATCGGTCACTGTTGTTGTTGTTAAACAATTACATTAATTCCAACTTGATTGGGTTTATTAATTCCTACCCTTGCGTTTTTCAGAGGGTGTGGGTATTATATTCATTTGAAACCTACGCCCACATTGTTTTATAGAGATATTCGTTGTACATTGCCACAACTATTAATAAAAACGAAATCTAAAATAGAATAAAGCAAAAAATTAGATGATTGTAAAAAAAAAAACTGTTAGGTTACTTTTAATACTTGTTCAAGTATTCGTTTTGACCAAATAATTGATGGTGCACAATCCCAGGTCAAACAATCCAGCACGGAAACGGCCGGTACCATGATAATTCGGCTCTGGTTGGAATCCACTAGAACATTGCGTAATTAATTATGCAACCTCTTCGTCACTGACGAGTGTTTCTGACTGTCACTAGTTTTTAATCAGTGGTATTGCGGTTTGCTACCAATATACCAGTTACAACGTATTATAATTGGTATTAAACAACAGGGATCATTGTTGTCAATGAGTGCTAGCGTGTCAAGCACACTAGCTGCTTGGGTCAGCTAGGTGGTTTTTAATAATTCTGCTCGTTTTCAATGCGGCGCTTCGTTGCAATCTCTCGATATATCTTTTTGTTTCTTCTTTACTGAAGCTAATATAATCTAGATTTGTTCAGTTGTTTCAGAAAGTATTTCACTAGTTACGCCAGTAACTATTCGTAGAAATGTGACGTTTCATCCATTTGATTAAAATTCACGGAGTAGACTATCGCCAGTTGGGTAAGATAAATACTGCATCGGAAATCATCTTCCTCGGGTAGTCTACAAATGAAAATAGATCTTCAGCAGTTGAATTAACGTCAATAATATTTACGGTTCAAATAATTCATGACTACTTCAAGACCTTAATCACGATCAAGTGTAACATCGATAGGTGCATGTATCGAAGATGATTCTTTTTTTGATTCACTTAAAATAAAGTAATTCAATATTTTGTTTCATTTTTATGAAATCAACTTACATATGGCTAATTATTTTTATTAAGCAGGTTGGATCATTTAGCTCGTCGATACTCTCAATTTTACATGAATCGTTCATGATGCTATTGATCTATAACAGAAAAGGAATATTATTCTTGAGATAGAGCAATTTATACTTACTCCAAATAGTAAAAGACCTTTTTCGATGAATATTTCAATTATTAATATTAAAGATTGACACAACAAATGCCATATGAAAATCTAAAAAATGTATACAATTAACGCTCGCCTGGATACTCGCTCAGTTCTGTCTCGTAGAAACGATGTGTATTCGCTAGCAGTAAACTATTTATTCAAATAATTTCAAAACCCGACTTCAAGTTTCAGTTCCACGATCTAGTTAACCGTTTGGTCAATCCTTATAAAAAAAATCCTTTTATATCTTTACGTAATTTTTGGACTAATCAGTGAAGTGCGAACACACAAGTAAGTAATCAAGTAGACAGTTTATGTTTGCAAGACTATTCTCAACGAGAAAGAGAATTGGATTAATCATTATACAAACAGATAGTAGAAGTGAAGATGTGTATAGGTACACTTACGATAGATAAAAATAGACAAGTACATATACAACAGAAGCATGAAGTAGAATATATGTGTGTATATATATACGCTAGCGACATCGTTTTAAAGTGATAACTTACAGAGGTTAACTTATTTTATTTCATTTTTTTCTTGCAGTTAATGATCGTAAAATCTGTATGTATAATATACAGATAATAGATATTGGATTATATATATTTGAACTTTTAGATATTAATGATAAACAGCAATCGGACTTATTATTTTACAATCAAGATTCAACTTGAATTACTAGAAGATCGAGTTGTTGATGCATTAAAGAACATTAGTCTTGATGTTAACAGTATTATTCGATTAAATGGCAAAGACGGTAAAACACCAGTAAGAACCCTTCAATCCCAACAAGTTCTATTCAAGTATCTGTCGACATTCATGCTGTGGTAACCGTACCTACTCACCAGCCCGATAAAAGTTCACGAGAACGAAAAGGACCAAGTGGCGTCACATCTGCTAGACAAGGTAAAACAGGCTCGCGGTCAGACGTAGAAATTGAAGAGTAGTGAATTGCTGATGGTCGAATAATATTATTTCACAAATCTGGACCTAGGTCTGATTCCGCGAACTTCAGGCCTATGTCTTACTTAAACGCCTACTACCAACTATTGACGGGTTGCGCAGCTGCATACTTAGGTCAGTATGTAAGGGAGCATAGAACCTTGCCCAATGAACAAGTAGCACAAGATCAAAAGCAAAGGCCTTTTAGTGTTACCTGGGTTCAATATGCGAAGGCATTTTATAGTGTCCCGCACAGTTACATCAAATGGCTGTTTAATGCAGTGCTAGTCTCGAACTGGTTAAGAAAATTTTCAAAAAGCCTTATAAAAATTTAAAGGGTAAAATATGAAGTTAGGATCCCAGAAGGAAAACAGAACGTAGCAGCTATCTACAGATGAAGTCTTTAGTCCTGCAAGGAGTCGGCTCACCTCTGAGAAGATCACAAATATGCAAATCTCACTGTCTCATCTTCTTTGTATGTACGATCTCAAACTATTCGCGAATTTAGCAAAGAGTTTGACTGAAGAAATAAAGGTAGTAACATCAATCTCTCGTACTATCAGTAGGAAATTGAATGTGAAAAAATGTGCTGAAGTACACTTCGTATCGAAACCACTGCTAAAAGAACAGGTAGAAAATACTGTAAGCTCGGCAGCTGACGGGAGCTCATGTTTCCCAACGCAGGATAGCGAAGCAGTCTACAAATACTTGAGAATAGAACAGAAACTAGGTATTGAACAAATCGTCGCGTGGAGGATAAGTGCTACCAATTAGTACAAAAAATATGGGATTCAGATCTTACTTTCCGGTAAAAAGTGAATACCCATAATATCACTGTAATATCAGGGCTCTGTTATGTAGTGAGTTGCATGATCAACGGCAGTAGATCATATGCAGGCGTTCTGTTAAGTGGTGAGAACTTAGAGAAAAAATTTCGCAAAATATTAGTCGAGCGGAAAGCAAAATACGCATCTGGTTGTGTAGTGCGATTATACCTCACAACTGAGCAAGGAGGATCTAGTTCAAGATCTGTAAGAGATGCAATTGAAGAATCCACCATATACTCATGGGCGCACCTGTGCACGAAAGTAGAGCTAATCGAGGAAACGATGTGTGATTAGGGACATGGAGAAGGTTCTAGAAACATACTGCATCAAAGCGGAAATTAATATCAAAAATTCAACAGTTAGTCTGAAGGGTGAGGAAGAGACTCATATCCACACTCATTTTTATTAACATTTGTAGCAATGGATAACAAATATTTCTATGAAAAAATATACAATAGTAATGAATACCTTTACAAAGATCTTAATCATAAACGATCATTATATATCAATTATCAATCTGGTCAATTTACGTTCAATATTGGTAAGTAATTCATTTTATTATGTTTCTAATTTCGATGATCAGAGATGTATCTAAAAAGAAGCATGTCGTTTTCTATATTCAATATTTTATCATTGCAGATGAAGTTGAACAAGAATTTGTTGGTTCTCATCCAGGTGATGATATCAACACAAGTGTTGATACTCAAGCTAATATTGCTACTGCTGTTTATGAAGCGAGTTCTTAAGGGTGTGAGGTGAAATGAATAGAATAGCCACACTCACACCCAACAAAATACGGTGACAATTGTTGTAGTAATACACCGTTTTATATTCATATGAATATATATATATATTACTCAATTATATTTTGTAATTCTTGTCATTATTATTTTAATAAATAGATATTTTATTCAACTTCTATTTATTTATTATCATTTTATTTCAATTTTAAATCTTTTCGTTTTGTTTTTTCATAACAATATATATATATATTTCAGTCTTTTATTTCACATGTTTTTATGATATAAATGAATTTCATTTTCTTATTGAATGATATTTATCTCTTTAGTTTAGAAATTTATTTACTTTCGAATAATTTTATGTATTAATTCTTCATCTTCATCTTTACAAACATTTTATAGTCAAGTCGATGATTTCTTGAAGCACTATTCCATGGTTTTCGGGCGAAAACTCTAAGGAAACTGGTCGTTTTCGTGCCGTAATGTTCGGCATGAGATTGTTCTTATTCTTATTATAAAAGATTTTACTATGAACAATATTATAATAAGTAAATAATATAGATTAAGTTGAAATATAATCTATGAAAATGAAAGAAACTTTTATTATTAATTTAATTCAATAGTTTCGAACAGGTTTTATGAAAAGGAAATTCCAAATTATGATTATATTGAATATAGAAAATACGATATTTATTTCTATTTTATATTCTATAAATAGATTAAATACAAAAAAGACAACATTTCACAATATATTATAAGACTAAAGACGATATATCGATCAAACGGTGTATTACTGCATCAATTGTGACCGTATTTTGTGGGGTGTGGGTATTCTATTCATTTCAACCCCACACCCTGATAATACTGGAATACTCTTGAGTACGTGTGATAGTTGACGGCGACATGGTAAAAGTTACCGAAAGCCAGTTGGATTTTGAGTAACGAGTAATCACTGAGCTTCAGGTATACCGTAGTTTATCACACACACCATATCTATATCCAAGTTTATGAATGTTATGACTATTAAGATGTTTCTCAATGTTTGTCAAATTAGTTCCTAGTAGGTCAGACCGTTCTGAACATGTACTATTAGTTCCTCAAGGATAGTACAAGCAGTAAAAGTTAGTTAGATTCTGCTGATTCGATATTCGAGCACTGCTCTTCCGAGTTCCTCGATTCTCTTGCGTGTCATTAGCGTTTTTTACCTGAGACGTGTAATTAGTGTTAGACTTTACAGCGCGAGAGAGCTTAAACTACATGGAGGGTGCTAACCTCTAATATAGCGCGGTGATTCTATTAGTTCAGTTACTAACGAAGGTGTAGAAGCTTCGGACAAGTCGTACTAAGGGAATAAGGAAGAAAATTTTGTCTTAGAAAAAGATTCTAAGCTTAAAAACAAGACCTTACTAATTCCTATTTGAAAAGAAGGGTAGAAAATACGCGGAGTCTTACTGTCATCTGTAATCTAACCGGGTCAATTCGAGAATATTACTGTGTCAAAGTATGTGGGTATTCTATTCATTTCACCTCACACCCTTAAGGACTTGCTTCATAAACATCACTAGCAATATTAGTTTGAGTATCAACACTTGTGTTGACATCATCACCTGGATGAGGACCAACAAATACTTGGTCAACTTTATCTGCAATGATAAAATATTGAACATATGAAATGGCATGCTTTCTTTAGATACATTTCTAATCATCAAAATAAGAAAAGTAGTAAAATAAATTTCTTACCAATATGGAAAGTAAAGTCATCAAATTGATAATTAATAGATAATGATCATTTATCATCAAGATCTTTGTAAAGGTATTCATTACTATTGTACATTTTTTCATAGAAATATTTGTTGTCCACTGCCAAAAATACTAATAAAAATGAAATCTAAAATAGAATACAGCGAAAAATTCAATGATTGAAAAAAAGAAAAATTCTGAAGTTACTTCTGATATTTGTTCAAATGTTGATTTTGGCCATGTAATTGATGATGTACAATCTCAGGTCAAACATTCCAGAACGGAAACGGTCGGTACCGTGATCGTTCCTTGAATTCATTTTTTGCTCAATGAGTTTATTGACTATTGATGCGATAGGTTAGATGTGCTTACCCGTGACTTTTCTGGACGGTTGTATCATGTTTGGTAAGCAACCTATCTTACGCGCCTGCTTGAGATCTTTTTCGAAAGTTAAAGGTATTACTTTCTTAGTGGTTCCAATTTGCATAGTTGTTTCGGGTTTGTTTGTAGCAAGTGGGTTTGCGTCGCACTTGCTAGGGTCGTTTTTTGGTGATGTAGCTCCAAAACTTTCTTCCTTGCTCGTTTCAACGCAGGAGTGACACGTTTCAGTCCTTTTTTGTTTTGGTGAACTTTCTTCGGACTGGCGAGTGGATAAAGTTACGACAGCATGAATGTCGACAGGTACTTGAAAAGTACGTGTTTGGACTGAAGGGTTCTTATCCGAAGCTGTCGACACAATATCGAGAACTTCAACAGAACATTGGGCTGCGATTTTGTTTTGATGCAATTTTAGCTCGGAGTGTGTAATAGCTCTGTAACAGGAAATAACACGAGTAGGTTCTTGCACCTTATTTCCCTTCATCAGTTGCGCCAATAACTATTGGCTGAAATATGACATTCCATTCATTTGATTGAAAATCACGGAGTAGACTGTCGCCAGTTAGATATGATAAACACTGCGTCAGTAAACATCGTCCTGGGATAATCTACAAATGACAATACATCTTTAACAGGTGAATTAGCATCAATAATACTTACCATTCAAATAGTTTATGACTACTTCAAGAGCTTGTTCACGATCAAGTGTAACATCTATTTTTGAAGATGATCCTTTTCTTGATTCACTTAAAATGAGATAATCCAGTATTTTGTTTTATTTTTATTAAACCAACTTAAATAATCCAGGTAGAACGATCCGGCACGGAAACGGCCGGTTCCGTGGTATTCGAAAGATTACATGGAAGTAGTATTCCTGTTGAATGAATCTTTTCGGTTCCATCCAAAACAGATTCCAGTGTCGAATTTTTGACATTTTGAATCATCGAACTGAGATATTTATTATCTTTATTAAATAAGTTGGGTTCTTTAGTTCTTTGATCGTTTCCATTATATATGAGTTGTCAACGATGTTATTAATCTATAGCAAAAAAAACATGATTCTTGAAATAAAACGATTTATACTTACTCCAAATAGTAAAAAACCTTTTTGGGATGAACCTTTCAATTATTAATATAAAGATTGATATAACAAATGCTATATAAAAATCTAAAATATGCATATATATATATATATACTTTTAGTGTGTCCAAAGTAAATTAATTAAAAAAAAGAATGGCTTACTAATCTGAAATAACTGAAGTTTGTATATGAAATATTTTTGAATTAATTATGATGTTGATAATCAGCATTTACTGAGGTCATAGTTAAACCGTTGAATGTGAATGTAAGAAGAAGATCAATATTTAGTTTTATTGATTCGTATAAACACATTTCTTATCCCTATATTTGGTATATGAACTGTTAATCGATCTTTCTTTCTATGTATATACCAGTATGAACGTATCATCTATGCTATTCTCTCTTTCTCTTTTCGTAAAAGCAATTTCCTTTAATGAAATAAGATAGGAGGATTGTTTTTTTTAGATATATCAAAAAATGATATCACTTACGTAATCACTTTTCAAAAAAGAAATTCATCAAAGAACATACTACTTTCTGAAATATATCTCAATAACAACCATAGAACAAAGCTTACTCGAAGTTGCCAAACGATCTGAAATAGTCCTAAATATATTCAAAAAGTACTTTGTTTGAATAACTATCGTGAAATGAAATTTTGAATAAGTAAGATGCAGTTCAACGATAAAGTATACGAAAATGAGGATTACTTCAAGAGTCTGAAGATTTGCATTAGTTAGAAAAAATTCTTTGGATAAAGCTTCCTATAGGTCAGCAGCCTCTTCAAATAAAAATCTCGATATTACTTTTAACAATATTTATGTACATCAATATGAATTAATAAATGATGATTATCCATTGACAACTATTGAAGATTATATTTAAATCATAGAAGATTTTTTTTATTATAGAAATATTTAAAATCGATAAGTGGCACTGGTGAGTGAATTCATCAGCGCAATAGACATCTTTGATGTAGCCGTATTATATATAGAATTTAAAGGATAAACTAAAAACTTGTTTTACTCAGAATTTTTATTAAATCATCATGTCTTTTCGTAAGGAAAAATACAATGTACGTATAGTTCAGTTGTAACACAGAAAAAACAACAAATCCATACGATTTATAACATCATTATCTTTAAACATCTTTAAAAAAATGGTATGTCTCAACTTCTTTCTCTCTCTTATCGTATAGTTGAAACACACACACACACGTTGCATTTTTTATTACATATATTAAGTTAATGTTTTTCTTATTCATTTTCTCGTTGGTGTTCATTACTATCATCGTAATCATAAAAAAAATATTGCTTTTCAAACAATTCAATGTAACACGTTCAAATAGAAACTTATTTAACTTAATAAAAATATATACAAAGAAATCATGACACGTACTTTAAATCTATTATATTCTATTTCAAGTTTATTTTCTTTTTTTCCTGTCAACAATGCTATACACAATAACTTTTGATCAAATAAAAAACAAATCTTTTTTCTCTATTCAATTTATATTCTTCATTAGATAAGAAAGACACATTGTCTGAAGTGTTTTCGAGCTATTGTTACTTCCTCGTCAGTTTTGCACATTTTCAGACAACAAAAACTCATAAAAAAATCTATATTCATTCTTGTGGATAATTATCTATTCAAGAGAGAAAGAAGGAAATTGAACATGTGTCAAATGATGATATTACAATAGTTCTTAAGTCAGATGTTGGATGTATTTCTATTAAGAAATGACATTCATTTGATTTAGTTTGTATAAGGATTAGTTTGCTAACAATATTAAACAGTAAAGTCATAGAACTATTGTTATTATCATATTTACATGTAATCAACATACATACAAGAATAGAAGCAAATGTAAAAATATATTATCATGATGTCATTCGAGAAAATTGTCTGTATGTATAAATATCAAATTAGTACATTATGTGTGAGAGAAAAAATCAGATTAATATTAAAGTAGATAATCAATCGAGATAGAATATAGTTCAAACGATAAGATTTGTAGTTGAGAAAGAGAGAAAATGAGAGAGATACAATATATTCAGTCGGATTTTTATAGTTACAATTAATAATGAAAATAGAATTCTGTCGATTAGATTGGTTGATAGACTTCAATATGGTTGAAATTATTTATATGTCCTTGGTGTGATCTTAATATGATAAGGAAAAGCAAGTGAAAGAAGACTTCCTATTCTCTTCTTCCGTTTTTTAGTTCGAGGATAATATAGACAATTGAATGAAACAACCCCTAATCAAATTTTTCCGTCACTCATCTAATATTATTTAGAAAAAAATAAAACAAAATAGAAGATGACGACAAAGGAAGAAAATAGAAAATTAATATTTTCCGGTATAAAAAGAATAGAACGACATTATTTCCTCAAGTATAAAACATGAAGAAAATGACATATATATATATCTAGTTTCTTGAAAATCTTGTTTATTTTAGTTAACAACAGTAATGTGATATAAACAGAAGGAAAATGCCATTGGCTGCTCTTACACCTGTATTAAATGATTTGCTTCATAGAGGAGGTGGTAGTTCAACATCTAATCAACAAGATCAATCTACACAACAATTATCTATTTCAAATGATTCATCAGGTCCAAGTGAATACCTGTGTAAAAGCTCTAATGTTGATAAATCAGTTACTGCTACCAATCCATTATCATCAACATCATCATCTGTCGATGATGTGAGTATTAAATAATTACATTTATTCTCCGAACTACGGCGGATACATAAGTCATTTATTCGTAAATAAATGGATGTTATGTCGACAATTAAGTCCGAAGAATTGAGGAAAGAATAAGATTGATAGAAAAAGAAAGAACTATTGTTTTTCTTTTCTATTTTTTTCTCTTCACATCATGACATTAGTTCCATTGCTTTTCTTATAATTAAGTGCGATGAACAGATAGAGCGAGTTCGGTAACAAATCAACGAATACTTACCAACTTGATTAATTGGTTAAAAAAAGGTTATTACCAATGAGTCGAAATCAGGTGTATGGTGAAGATCCTTTAATTGCTTATTTTAGACCATTTATCGGTTAGTATATGTTTTTTTTAATATATATTTTTCTTTTAACAGAATTCTCATTCAAATCCAACAATAAAAATCCAAAGAAGCAAAAGTTCTTTAAAACGAGAAGATTCATTTTTACAAAAATTTTCGAATCGTTATGGTTATCGAGGATTAGGATCGATGGGTATACTCTTTTTTTTCTAAAATAATATATTTGTTTTTTATTATATATATACAAAAATATATTCCTTACTTTTTATTCTTCAAGCACAATCAAAGCGAAATCGTCGATTAAATATTGAAAAAGATGCACCAATTAAATCTCGTTATTCAGTGGTTCGTCGACTCTTACATTTTTTTAACTATCTTGTTATATCACCAGATGAATCATTTTTATTTTATTGGTTAATTATATTAAATATATTTGTATTATATAATCTTTGGTTTCCAATTGCACGTCAAGCATTTGAACCATTACAAAGAGATTATGTACATATATGGAAAATAATTGATTCTTCAGCTGATACAATTTATTTTCTCGATGTTGCTATTCAATTTCGAACCGGTTATTTACAGCAAGGTTGAATAAATTAGATACGTTTTTTTATATTTAATATGTTTATCATATTTTTTTAGGATTACTTGTTTATAATCACTATAAATTAGCATTAAATTATATTCGTTCATCTCGTTTTATTTTTGATATGATAGCATTAACACCGTTAGATTTATTACAAATAAAATTTGGTTCAATTCCAATTCTTCGATTTCCTCGTTTTCTAAAAGTATATCGAACATTTCAGTTATATTATTTGCAAGAATCACGTACTGTTTATCCAAATACATATCGTGTTCTAAATCTATTTCATATACTTTTATTATTGGGACATTGGTTAGCCTCGTTTTATTTTATGGTTTCAAAAGCTGAAGGTTTTGTTGGATATTGGTCATATCCAAAACCTGTAGGAAATTTTTCTCAATTAGCTAAAATGTATCTTCGTTGTCTTTATTGGTCAACATTAACATTAACAACCATAGGAGATTTACCACCACCAGAAACTAATTGGCAGTGAGTAGATTTTATTTTATTTTTTGATTTCTCTATATCGATTAGTAGATATGAATAAAGAGTTAATTAGAAGAAAAAAAAATTAATCAGTTTGTTACTCTTTTTTTTCTTGTTCTATTTTTTTTCTTGAAAGCTAGATGGCTCAAAAATTTTACGAACAAACGGTATGTTTATATTCATTTTTTATATTCTAATCAATGCTTTGAGATCAATTTTTAGTTACGCTTTTCTAATAAGCGTTCATTTGTTCTCCGTTTTTGTCATAGCTATCATTGTGGGTAAGCAGTAATAAAAATCATTAGAATGCTTATATATTTAGAAAGATTTATTTTCAAATAAAATAAAAAAATTTAAATTTTTTGAAGAAGAATATAATCAGATACACATCGCATTGTCTATTTCTTTTTGAGGGCTGTTTTTGCTATTACCAGTTATATGGTTGGAATATTTGTTTTCTCATCCATTCTAGGTAAATTTCAAATACTAAAATTTAAAAAAAAAAGCGGCACGGTGTATATTTTTGTTTTTTTGTATTAGGACAAGTTGGTAATGTTATTGCAAATCGAAATGCTAGTCGTTTAGAATTCGAACGTTTATTGGTTTGAATCATATAGATAGATAATGAGTTATAAATATGATTATATATAGGATAGTGCAAAACAATATATGCGTACACATAATGTTCCACCTGAAATGCAACGACGTGTTCAACGTTGGTATGATTATTCATGGTCACGTGGCCGAATGTCGGGTGCTGGTGATGTTCATTCAATCAAACTTTTACCTGATAAACTTAAAACTGAATTAGCGCTACATGTTAATTTAGGAACCTTAAAAAAGGTAACTATATTTCAAGAATGTCAACCTGAATTTCTACATGATCTTGTTCTTAAAATGCGTGCTTATATTTTTACACCGGGTGATATAATTTGTCGTAAAGGTGAAGTAGCGCGTGAAATGTTTATTATAGCCGATGGCGTTCTTGAAGTAGTCAAGTAAGAATGAATTACATGTATAGATAATATACTAATTTAATAATAAATATTTAGTGAAAAAAATGATGTATTAACACGTATGGGTGCGGGAGATTTTTTTGGTGAAATTGGTATATTAAATATTGATGGTGCTAATCGACGAACAGCTGATGTACGAAGTGTTGGATATTCCGAATTATTTTCTTTATCAAAAGAAGATGTATTAGAAGGTTGTCGTGATTATCCTGAAGCTGAACGTAAATTATATGAATATGCACAAAATAGACTTGATGTTGAACGAGCAAAAAAAGAAGCAGCAGCAGCAGAAAAAATGAAGGGTGCTGTTAATACATTAACATCGATTGCATCATGTTTAACACATAATCCAATAACAACAGCAGAAACAACAATGCCTGTTATAATAAAAAAGTTCGTTGTTTTAGTTTTAATCCTATGAATATTTAATTATTTGTTTTAATAGAAATTCACTGAAAGAGAATGATGATAAAGATAAGAAAGAAGTATCGGAATCAGCACCATTAACTCAAATTAATCGAAAGACAACTATAACGGATCGAACAAGGTAAAAATGATAAAATTATTAAATTTTTGTTTTTCTCATTTTTGCTTATTAGACTAAAATCGAAATATTCAAACACAAGTATAAATAATCTAAACTGTGATAATAAAGAAAAACTTCTTTGTAATCCATGTCCAACTCCAGAAAACTCATTTTTAATGCCTTCATCACATTTATATTCAACAGATTTGATGAATAGTATTCAATTACTTGTTAATAGCAAATTGGTAATACTTCAACCATATTTTTGTTTTATATTTTCAAGATTTTTGTTTTTTTTCATTGAAGAATATGATAGAAAAAAGATATCACGATCAAGTAGCTGAATTACAAGATGAAAATCAACGTAAAGATTTACGAATTAAATTATTAGAACAAAAATTACAAAAATTACAGGTTTTTATTAGAATTATTTTAATTTCAAAAAAAAACATACAGAAACCAAATTTCTTTTAGAAAACTTTACTTCATCGTAATCGAATATGGTTTGAAGAGGAATAATATATATATATATATCTATTCTGAAACAAATACAAAATATTTTCGAGTTTATTAATTTGTCCATTTGAACACGTGTTTTTTCTTTTACTTGTTATACATGTTCAAATAAATTTAAATAAAAACTTATCTGAATCGATATATATTATAATTTAGTCAAAAGAAAAATAATATCATTTTATAATTAACATCTAGTTTTTCATATCTCTAGTGATAATTGTGTATATTAATTAATTTATGATGATATATATATATAGGAGAGTAAAGGAATCGACATTTCCTAACACGATTATAAATGTATTAATCTACGCATGGAAACTCTTTTTTATCTGTTATAAGAAAAGTAAATTAAAATATATGTCGCACTTTTTCTATTAAAGAAAATGCCTGTTTTTTTCTATTCCTAATGGAATTCGACGTCTTTAATCACGACTATTGCTTACATCTTTCTTTGCATGTTTTTTAATAAGATTTTCTATTAAACTTGAGTAGCTAAAAATACTAATAGTTTAGTTTTTCTTATTATATTCTCGAAATATTAACTATAAAAGTATAACCAAGCGTAAATTGACGTAGACATTATGTTTCCGTCGATGATCTTTGTCGTTATAATATGAACAATAAGAAAAAATTAATAATTAACATCATTTATACTGTCATGGTTAAGATTTTTCAAGGTTCTAAGAACGCGCTATATATTATAATAAATACAGTGTGTAAACTAATGACATCTATCATATATATTTTTGATTAACTTGAAAAATGAAATTTTTAAATTGATCACCATTCTTTAATAATGCTGCAGTGGTATCTTAGGAATTATAATATACTTGAACAATATTTACAACCAATTATATATCATATTTTTGTTTGTCAGTTTTTTTCTGTGACTATTAATGATGAGTGTAGGTTTTTTGCCATTTTTTTTTTCTTCTTCTTCTTCTTCTTTCTATTATTATTTGTTTGCTTAGCAGAGCAAAATGAAAGAAGCGGAGAAAGAATGAAAGAAAAAGGTGCAGAGGCGTTGACATTGTCGCTTTTATTATAACTTTTCCATAAAGTTCTTCGTCATATTTCCATAATTGTAACAAAAATATTTAAGATAGTTATAAATCAATTAATTTCTTAGATTTCTTTGTAGAATGATATTATATTCAAGAAAATATAACGTGTTAATTAAGTAATATGTTTAACACATTTGCTAACGTATTTAGTGTCGATGAAAACAATACAAAAAAAATGGAGAGTAACAATCCATTCGATGATTTACCCTCGTCAACATCAACAACAGATCCTTTTGGAATATCATTAAATACTATGAAATTATCGGAATCATCAGAAAAATTTGATGATAATCCATTTCTTATTAGTACAAATAATGATAAATCTGTTCGACCTCGAAGTGGCAAAGAAGCATTATCATCATCAAATTGGCTGGCTTATCAACATTCAATGGATGAAGCTAATTTAGATCAAGTAGATGATTTTCAAGATAAATCATTTATAACAGAATCAAATAGTACGAATAATTTCAATCCATTTGATATTTCCACAATATCAAATACTGATCAATCAAATGGAACAATATTTCAATCTTCTCCAATGGATTTTTTATTTGATGTTAATACTGATTCAAATCAAGTGTCAACAACAACAACAACAACAAATTCCAACCAATTATCTTATGATTTTCTTGATTTTAATCCAACAGATACATCAATATCAACGAAAACCGAAAATGTTAATAGTTTAACTGATATATCAAAAATCGAATCAACTACAACATCTTCATCAGCTCAATTAACATCTTCAAATGAAATAAATACTACACAAGAACCAGTATCAACTGGTACATATGATGATCAATTTCTTGGTTGGTTAACACAAACTGCAGATTCGATAAGTGGTATTGATTCAAAACAAAATAAAGTTACTGAAGATTTTGGAAATATTTATCCACAATTACCAACACAACGTATGTCTAATCAATTTTTTTTTTATTTATAATTTTTTTCTTTCAGAAGTAACTGATCAAGAAAATAATCTGTCATCGTCATCAGATGGTTTTTCTAAACAAGCCATTTCTCGTCCATCGGTTGAAGAAATACCATCAATTCGTATACATGAACCAAAAATTGGACATAATGATAGTAATATTGTTCCACAAGGATATTTTAATAAAGAAAATCAAAATCAATCTGATGATGATTCAGATGATGAAAAAAAAATGGTTTTTAAAATTGGCGAAAAAAAACATAATGTATTAAATTCTGATACAAATATACCTCTACCATTATTACCTCCACCACCATCACCATCATCATCAAAAAATTATCAAAAAAGTAATAAAGATGCTAGTTCATCATCTTCAGATTCCGATCAAGATGATCCACTTGCTATGTTTCGAACAAAAACTACTAAAAATAAAACCGATGAACAATATGGACAAAATCTAATTACAGATTGGGATGAAGAAACAAAAGTACAAGAACGGGTATGCTTAATGTTCGTACATGTATATATATTGTTGTCTTGTATGTACTACAAATCTATTGGTAATATTTACACAAGAAAAAAACAAACTTTCTTTATTCATTATTTATTTTAATTCTAGCAAGAAAAAGTTCAATCACCACCATTAGATTATTATTTACATGAACCAGATTATGATGATAGTGCACCATTAGAAGCCTATCATAATGATATAAATGAACTACAATTACAGCAACTTAATGGATGGTCATTACAAATTCGTCTACCATTAAGACAAAAAGATTTATATAAAAGTACTTTTCAAAGATTTAGTGAAACACGTAAGAAATATGTTTTATAGTAGAAATTATAATCTTTAATAAAATATTTCATTTTTAGGTACTTGGCAAGAATGTTTTGTTCGAATATTTTTTGATGAAAAAAAATTACGTTTTTATCTTCCACAAACAATTGAACAATCATTTGCTGAAATTGAATTTCAAACATGGTATCAATGTACAAAATTTAATCTTCAACAATATGATCAATATTCAAAAATTCATACATTTAAAATTTATGAAGCGAATTATCGTGAAATTCCACAAGTTCGAATTGATCGTTTAGTAACATTACCAGAAAAATTATTACGAAAATTTACTCGACCAAATAAAACTCAACAAGTTTTATTAGATCATGCAAACTGTGTTCAACAAGAAGTTGTTAAATTTGGTCAATTAAATTATATTTATTTAAAACAATTTTCAATTATATTAGATGATTTATTTTGGACAATGCCTGTTACACGTAGTCGATTACAAAAACATTTAAAAGAAGAAATAACTGTCAAGATTTTAGATGAATATTATGCACATATTGATAAATATCATCATATATGTAAACAAAAATCACGCACACGTTTATTTCTATTAGCATTTTTAAATGGTACAGAACCAATTGTTGAAATTGGTATGAATGATTGGTTTCGTCATGGTAAAGAAGTTAATAAACGTAATGAAATAATTATTAATAAAACATTACAAGAATATTGGATTAAACCTGAACAAGTTGAATTAGCATCAATTATTGATTCAAATGAATATGAAAGTACGCATTTACTTAAATTAATACCACCTGATAGTCAAAAAATTGAAATAATGCGTTTTCGTACAAGACCTAAACAAAATATTGAATTGCCATTAAAAGTAAAAACAGAAAAAAAGATCTTCTATTCATAAATAAATTTTTTTCTTCTAAAATAGGTTTATTGTTTTATGTCGGTTATTAATCGTCAAATAAATATACGAATTGAAATAACTGTATCAAATGCATTTAATATAAGTATTTTATCAAAAGCATCATCAATGGCAACTAATGATAAAACAGCAAATATACGAGATGATAATAGTGATGAACAATGTCCATGTGAAAATATTCAAATACGTTTTCCAATACCTGATCCATGGGTTTATATGTTTCGAGTTGAAAAACGTTTTCGTTATGGAGCTATACATAGTGTTCGTCGTAAAGCAGGAAAAATAAAGGTAATTGTATGAAAAATATTCTTTATAAAATTTTTCCTTTGGAATTTTTAGGGTCTTGATCGTTTGATGATTCATCGTAATGATGGCGCTACACCTTTTATGGCTGCATCAGCTGGTATAGCTAAATATGAACAAGCTTTTCGTGCAATTGTTTGGCGTGTTGATCAATTACCAAAACGAGATCAAGGCGCTTATAAAACTCATCTATTTGAATGTAAATTTTCAATACCATCTCATGATCCAGTACCTGAAAAATATGAACCAATTGCTGATGTTGAATATTCTATGTCACAAGCATTTGTTTCACATTGTCAGGTAAATTAATTTTGTATTTACTATTTATAATTCTTTAAGATTTTTTATTTATAGATTCGTTCAGTTGCTGTACCAAGTGCTGAAGAAACACCTGAAAAATGGATACGTCCTAAAAGTCAATTTACTTATACAACTGACATCGAATATGCATTTAAAGAAGAAGAAAAAAAAGAATTTGCACCAATTGAAATCGATATGAAAGAACAAATAATGTCACAAAGTGAAACAGAAAATAATTCACAATCAGATGATAGTGATTAAAAAAGAAGACATCGATTGATTTAAATTAAACTTAAAAAATATTATTTGCTATGCAAAATACATACTGTTGTCAAACCCAAATCTTCTTTTTTTTTCCTTTCATGTGATATTTTTTCATCTTTACCTGCTTATTGTATTCTAGTGTACCTTATATTAAGTATGTTTTTTGTATTTTGATCGGTATATTATATGTCTTTTGTTTGTTTTTGATGTCTATTAAATAAATAAATCTTCATTTTAATTTCAGATAGTTAAAATAATAATAAAATGACTGTTAATGGTAGTACACGTTCATTAAGACAACATGTTCAACGTTCACTTGGTGATGATTTTATTGAACCACCTTCTGTTATGTCAGTAATAGGAAATGAGAACGATGATGATGATGGAACTGAAGATTTTCATCCCAGAGGTGCTTCATCAAAAGCACGGACACGTGGAACTGGAAGACAAACACGAGTGGGAAGAAAACCAAATACAACTATAAATCAAGTTGATGATGATTCAATGGAAACAAGTTCTGTCATAGCAAGAAATAATACAACATTTGTCGGTCAACAATCCGAAGAAAAAGGATATTTTCATCATTTATTAACTGGAAAAACAAATATACAAGTATTAGTTGATCAATGGATTGATTCTTATCAAGCAAATCGTGATGAAGCATTAATTGAATTAATGCAATTTTTCTTAGATAGTAGTGGTTGCAAAGGAAAATTAACACAAACAATGTATTTAAAAATGGAACATATTGATATGTTACGAACCATGACTGAACATTTTGATGAGGTAAAATTTCTTGTTTCTTAATAAGTATTCACTCATTACTTACGCTAAGAGAAATATTATTGATACATGATTATGATAAGCAAGCAGTTGTATCATACATAGAAGCTTCTGTATGAAAAATCGTTAGATCTTAATAATTATTGAAATTTATAAGTATTCATTTGAATCGGAAAAGTATTTATGTTAGAAATTTGTAATTATAATCCTGTTCTAATAACTACCATTCAAATGAACACTCGTAGAATTCAATGAACATTAAGATTTGTCGGTTGTTCTTATAAAAATTCATATATTCTTGACTATTGTTATGTCTCTAACTAATATTGAAAGTCTTTGTAAATTTGATCATCATACACTCTCAAACTATAAGAATACTTCAGAATATCAATGACATGTTTTAGCATGAATAGTGAGTAAGTTCTAATGAATTCTATGTCTACTGTTTAACTTTGCTATATATACTTCTTATCTATTTATAAATTCAATATAAAAGCTATCACGATAGGAGACTATTTCAGAGGTATTCATCATGGAATAAATCTATTAGTAGTACGCCACTAATGCCCGCATCATTTTGTTCTCGTAGAAGCATCAGGGACATCATCGTTTTGATTATTACTAGGTCACATATAGATTGAATAGAATTATTTATACTAGATAAAATTTATATAAAATCAAGAATAATCTTTAATTATTAATAATATTTCGTTTTAGGATACATCTGAATATCCAATAATAATGTCTGGTTTACAATACAAAAAATTTCGTTCATCATTTAGTGAATTTGTTGTATTATTAATTAAACAATCATCCTATTTAATTATATATGATCAATATATGATTGATAATCTTGTAACATTATTAACTGCTCTATCTGATTCACCTGTTCGTGCTTTTCGTCATACAGGAACTCTAGCTGGTAAAATTAAATTCTTGTCTATTATGTGGAAGACAATAAGTTTTGTTATTATTTTAGTTTTAAAAGTTATGACAGCTCTTGTTGATATAGCATTAACAATAAGTATACAAAAAGATCAATGTCAAAGACAATATGAAGCTGAAAGACAGAAATCAAGTGCAAGACGAGCAGCTGATCGACTTGATACTTTAACAACTAAACGAAAAGAGGTTTAATTTTAAGAAATATTTCTTTTTTTTTTATAATATTTCTATTCAATTTTTTTTAGCTTGAAGGAAATGAAAATGAAATTAAAAGCTTCATGAATTTTATATTTAAAGGTGTTTTTATTCATCGTTATCGGTATGAATAAATCATTAAAAAAAAAGAAAAAGAAAATCGGATTTTTTATATTTTATTTAGAGATGTGGTACCGGATATCCGTTGTTTATGTATGAGTGAACTTGGTGAATGGATGAAAAGTTATCCGACGGTTTTTCTTGATGATATTTATCTTAAATATATTGGTTGGACTTTATATGATAAAGTAATAGAATAAATCAATTATTTAATTAAAGCATAATTTATATTTAGGTTAAAGATTGTCGTTTACGTTGTTTACTTGCATTAATACCTTTATTTCAAACAACAGATCTTGTTGGCAAACTTGAATTATTTATTAATCGATTCAAAGTAAAAGATTTTTTAAAGGAAAAAGTATCTCTAAGATATTCGTTTCATTTTCTAGGATCGTGTTGTACAAATGACTGTTGATTGTGAATATGAAGTAGCCGTACAAGCAATTAAACTTTTAACTGCTATATTAAAGTAATTTAAATATCAAATTATAAATATTTATTTGTTTATTTTTTTCATATAGATTTAATGATCGAATACTTGAAGATAAAGATTGTGAAAATATTTATGAACTTGTTTATCATTCACATCGACAAATAGCACAAGCTGCTGGAGAATTTCTTAATCAAAAATTATTTCATAAAGCTGAACAACCATTAAATACAACAAAAAAACGTAGTCAAAATACAGCGTTTATGTATTTACTTGTACAATTTTTTATTGAAAGTGAAGTATGTTTAACACATTAATTGTTTTTATAAAATAAGATATTTATATATTTATTTCTCTAGCTTCATGAACATGCAACTTATTTAGTTGATTCAATGTGGGATCAACATCCAATGATGAAAGATTGGGAATGTATGACAGATATATTACTTGAAGCATCTGATCAAGATGATGATCGTATGTTATATATTAAGAGAAAAAAAATTTTTTATTTGAATAAAATTTATATTTTAGCTCTTGATGATCAACATGAAAATTGTTTAATTGAAATCATGGTTTGTTGTGTACGTGAAGCTGCAACAGGTGAATATCCAATAGGTCGTGGACAACCAAATCGAAAAGTATATATCCATAAAAAACAAAGATTTTCTTTAATTATTTTACTTTTTCCTTAAAGTTAACAATGAAAGAACAAAAACAAAAAGATGATGATAAAAAAATTTTAACCGATCATTTTATCGGCAGTTTACCAGCATTACTTAATAAAGTAAAAATTATTTTTTTTTCGAAATAGATTATCTCATATCATTCAATAAATTTTTAGTATATTGCCGATGCCGATAAATTACTTAATTTATTACAAATTCCACTTCATTTTAATTATGAAACTTATACAACAGCAAGACGTGAACGTGATCTTGATAGTTATTTAAATGTATTAAGCGATATTGTACAACGTCATACAACAGCTGATGTTTGTTTTTATTTATTTTTTTTGATATTTTTATTTTTTTTATATGATTTCAATAGGTTTTTGATTCTGTTTCGAAATGTTTCGAATGTGTATGTGATGTTAATTTTACATTATCAAATCGAGCTATTGCACATCGTGGAAATATTATGGATAAAATTTTAGCAAATTTTAATGCAGCTATGAGTATTTTCGAAGAAATGGTAAATAAAATAATGTTTTTTTAAAGAAAATATTTATTTTGAATTTTTAAGGATGAAGCTGATGAAGATGATTTATATCCATTATTACTTAATTTAAGAAAATTAGATGCTTTTCATCAGTAAAGATTATTTTATTATTATTATTATTTAATGTTATCTTTTTTGTTTTTGTATTAAAGATGTCATGATCTAGGAAATGTTGATTTATGGGATAAAATACATTTGTTATTCAAAGCAGCAATTGATAATGAAGATATGTCACCAGAAGTTTGTTTTAATGAATATTAATTATATTTAAATGTTTTATTTATTTATCTATATAGATTGTTGATAAATGTTTTGGTATTGCTAACCGTAGTTTACTTTGGGGACTGTATCAACTCGATATACAATTTGATAAAGTAAATATGACATATTTTTTCCTTGGGAAGAGATAATTTATCCTTTTATTTAATGTTATATACTACGAAAATTCGTTTGTCTAAGCTTTTTTCATGATGAACTTTAATTGAAAGTAAATAAGCTTTTGATTATTCTTTTGTCTGCAGATGATAATAATAGAGTCATGATCCATTGCCAATTATAATGTCTTTGATAGGATGAAACTAATCTTTGGCAAATCTCTATAATAATTAATGATAAAATTGCGTGTCTCACTATTCTCATTATTGAGTGACTGACGTACAGAAATAGATCATAACTTTAAAAATATTATAATAATTGAAATGATCACGGACGAATTGACGGATATCCTTTAATAAATGTCAAATTTTTGTATTTAATATTTTATGACCGATAGCATGTCATACGTGAAAATCTGGAATATTAAAGTCCTTGTTGTCAAAAGATTATTTGCTTTTATTCATATATCAATCAAGTGTTCCTTAATTTATCCTAATAAATCATTGTGAATATCTAATATTTTTCGTGTTTCGTTGATAAATAAAGTCATCATTAAATACGTGTCTATCTTTACCTTTCATATGTAAATGAAAAAATCAAAGCGTACGAATATTAGAATTATTCGATAATCATATATTCTTTTAATATAAAATTTATTGTTATATCTTAGTTAATCATATTTTATGCATTGAATTAGAAAAGTATAAACTCTGATTGATATCTAAATTTAACTTTAAATTTAAAGGGTAGTAGGTTAATTAGAATCACAGAACTGACATTTTATTCCAAGAATAACTAATAAATAGCAAAGATCATGATCTTTTATTTGATTATATATTAAAAAAAAATATTTTAAATATTAATGAATAAAAAACGCGAACTTACAACTCTTTAAATAGAATATAATTTAATTGATTTATAAGACTAGTAAATTGAGTTAAATCTGAAATATCAATACTAACGAAATATTTCGTACGTTTTACTAGAAGATTCTCAATCTATATAAAAACAATTGAAACTTAATATTGAATTATTATTTTCTAGGATTTATTGAAAAAAGTCGTAAAACGTAGTCGTAAATTATCTACACTGTGTCAAAAACTAATGCTACATGCTAATGCTCAAATATGTCAATATGCCTATTCAACATTATGTGATTTATTAATCAGTATGAGTCCACATTTAGTTGATAAAAATCCTGATTATCAATCACTTGTTATTGAAATTAATGAAAATCTTATTCAATCATTATTAACATTTTTAAATACTTATGTATTTTTTGTTGAAGATCCAAAAAGTAATTATTTATTGATTATAATTTCAATCAATTCTTGATTTTTGTATTTTTAAGATCAAGATGAACAAGCTAAAATTGAAACACTTCATAAGAAACGTAATCTACTAGCTGCTTATTGTAAATTAATCGTACATAATGTATTACCAATTCAAGCTGCAACAAATATACTTAAATATTATGTTAAAGTAAAATAAATTAAATTATTATTTCTTCTATTTGTTTTATACTATATATAGTATAACAATGATTTTGGTGATATTATTAAGAATACATTTACACGTGCTCGTGATATTTCAAAAATTCATACGGCGAAAACAATGGCTTATAGTCTTATGGCTGTTTTTAAAGAATGTGTTGCTGCTCAACAAACAACTGGAAATGATGAAAATGCTAATATTGATCTATCACCATTAAGAGTAAATAGATATTTGTAAAAGATATATTGAATCTTTTTGTTTTATTCTATATAGGAATTAGCTCGTCGATTTAATCTTTCATTTGGTCTTGATATGGCTAAACAAAGAGAGGCACTTGCTGCTCTTCATCGGTATGATATTGATCTTTTATTTATTTAAATAAATATCGTCTATTTAGTGAATGTATACGTTTTGCATTAACACCATTATTTAATCATGATGATCCAACACAACCTGGTCCAAATATTCTCTTTCTTGAAGTATTACCAGAATTTGCTTCAAAACTTCTTAAACCCGATAAAAAAGCAATGTATAGATTATGAGAAATCTTTATTAATATGCAAACGTTTTTTTTTTAATTATAGTTTTGATCATGTTGATAAACTCGTACACAGTGCAACAATTGAAAGTGATGCATGGCAACCATTAATTAATTATCGTCGTATTCTTAATGATGAAGTTGGTAGTGGACACGGACCAAAAGTACGTGCATCGACTGGTACTCGTGGTCGTAAACGCGCAATACCACAAGATGGTAGTTGAAATTCTATTGTTTATTTTTTAAATGTAAAGATCTCTAAAAATTTTAGATGATCATTCTCTATTGTGATTCATAGATGATTATATTTTTTTTCAGTTTTTTTTATTTGTATAGTCATCTAAATGTATTTTTTTGTTCTTGTTATTATTGTATTTCATTTGTTTTCTCATGCTTGTAGTCTATTAAGACTTTTATTAAAATAAAGAAACTTAAATATAAATATAAAAATTTTCCGATTAAATAAATTATTTTATTTCTAGATCATTAATTATGGCGACTGGAGATGATATGGTTGAATTTACAATTAAAAGTAATATAGTACCAAGTGAAGCTATACGACGTTTTAAACGATCGGCACAAATTGGTGAATTAAAAGTAAGAGATAAAATAAGATAATACAATTTCTTTGCTTATTTTGTGTTTTAATTCTAGAATCAATTGGAATTAATTACAGGTGCTCAAAGTCAATCAATGAAAATTCATGTTCATGATGAACGTGGTACAAAATTATTTGATCTTGATGATGATTCTCGTACATTAGGTTCATATAATGTTCAATCAAAAATGATCTTACAAATTGAAGAAACAAATTTAAAACGAGCACATATGTTTGATGATACAGGTGATGTACCAAAATATGAATTAACAGCTGAAGAATATGAATCAAGAAAAAATACAGCAAGACAATTTATGGTTGATCATAAAATTGGAAAATATAATCCAGCAGCACAAGAGGAACGTGAAAGAAAAGAAAAAGAAAAAGAAGAACATGAACAACAAGCAGCAAGTAAAATTAATGTTAATGATCGGTTAGTTTAGATTTTCGAATTACTCTTTTTTTTCTCATCCTTGTAATTGTTTAATAGATGTGAAGTTGCCGTTACATCACAACCAACAAAAAGAGGAACTGTTATGTTTAAAGGTATATAAAAATATATTTAATATTAAAATATTTCATTGAATTTTAGGTGAAGTACATTTCAAACCAGGAGTATGGGTTGGTGTTCGATATGATGAACCATTAGGCAAGAATAATGGATCGTAAGTTTTAATTCATACATATAGTGCGGTTTACAAAAATAAAATCTACTTTTTTGTTTAGTGCTGAAGGAAAGAAATATTTTGAATGTCCTGATAAATATGGTGTATTTGTTCGGCCAAGTTCAGTTACAGTTGGAGAATTTCCAGAACTTGATTTAGAAGAATTATAATACTCTTTTCTTTTTTTATTCCGTTATTGTGATATTTTGAATGATCGCACTGAGTGGTGAATAAACACACAAAACAACTCTTTTTAATAAAAAATCTTATGTTCTCATTTGAATAAAATATTTACTAAATATCAAGATTCTGTTTCACACAGAAAAATGTTATTTTACGAAATAACTGATCATCAAAACATTTAAAAGATTTGAAGTTAAATAGACGGTTAGTGGATAATTTTTTTGCTACTTTTAAAAGATTGTTTATAGAATAAAAGCTGTATTTCTTTTTAAAATGAACTCACTATAAAATGACAAACAGTGTGACTGTCTAACAAATAAACGAAATAAAATAATGTCTATTTGAATTCTGCTGTATTTCACTTCATAAATTATGTTCCACCTTTAAAGAGTTGATTTAGATTTTCCACTAAATTGTTTAAACCTTGATATCCCTTGGTCGAACAATCCGGTACGGAAACGGCCGGTTCCGTGGTATTCTGGTGATTTCATGGAAACAGTATTCCTATTGAACGGATCCGATGACCGGATTTAACTGATTTGGGCCGGAACCGACAAGAACATGTCAAAACCGGCAGCCGGATACGGTTACCTCACTTCTCTATCGGATTTTTGGCATTTCCCGGACGGGTTTCGCCCAGAAATGGTGAGTTTTCTCCGGGATTTTGACGGAAAATCATGGAATCCTGCTTCAGGAACCATCGCCCTGGGTCTAACAAAAAAATCCAACTTTTTTTAAAATAACTAGTGTTTACTCGAACTCTGCTGATGTTTGCTTGACATATTTGTCAAAGTCAAGCTCTAATTCATGTGTGTGGTTTTTTTGAAGAATACTAAAATAAAGAAATAGAATATTCTTTCCTAAGGGAAAACAATATCTTACTGCCAATTGAATTTTGACTTTATTCTGACTTTTTGTTACACATACTTGTGTAAGAACGTTATTAATAAGGTAGTCAAGATAATATTTGTTATTACGGCATCTTGCCAAATTCAGAACCATATCAGACTTCTAAAATAAATAAGACAGAATATTACAGTACTGTTCAAAAAAACTTGCACGTACTGTTATGTAAATATATCAGCATATATAAGTCACTGTCAAGTAGTTTTCATTACTGGCTGATAGCCTACGGTAAGTACTATTAGACACTATACTTTAATATTTTATTCGTTTGTCTTTAGATTTAATGAGAGACAAACATCTTTTTTTCATCGACATCACAAAATTCATTACAAAATTGATATCAACATTTTTAAATTGTTCACATCTAGTAGCAGAAAGAAGATAATTTTTTAGTGTATGAGCTTAATATAAACCATTAATTGTCGATAATTTTTCTTTGATTTCATTGAGGATTATTTAATTATTACATTGAATATATTGAGCAATATAGATTTTTTCTATTTCCATGTGACACATAGTCGACCATTTCCTCTTCACTACTTAAGTGAATTTGTTTGTTTCAATTTACTTATTATATTGTAATAGATAGTCCTTAATGATATCTTTATTTCATGATGAATAGCACGGGCGCAAACCATGCCTTTAAAAAGAAAAGAATTCACGCTTTTATATAGTCAACGTGTAGTGTTACTAACGGACATATATCCCTGGAAAAGTTAAACATTTAATTAATTTCTAACGATAAGAAAATCGTTATACAAAAAATTCAATTTTGTACAAGTTTTTTTGAACTAGGGTGTGTATTATTATCAAAATAACGAAAAGTTGGATAAGAGTATTATATTTCTTTTCTCTTTTGACATCATAATAAATTCGTTCATAGAGAGCTCGAATCAGTGAATGTAACAATAATATAAGCATGTTATGACAATTTTCTAATGACTAAACTTCGTTTGCAAATAAAGAAAAATTAAGAGTAAAGCTTAGTTTCAACTGATAATATCCTTCAACATGATAGTTCTTCTACAAATGACAGTTTACAATATAAATCGTTCGTCATTCACATTACCTTCTACATCTGTCTTCTCAATCATTGTTTCTTGTTTTAATGTAATGAACGAGAGATATGACACTTTAAAAAAGAATAGTAATATTAATCACTGTAACGTATTTATTTATATTGGTTAAAACCAATCCGAAAGCTTTTGAAATATCCTATCTGTATCAGTTTTATTTTAGTGTATGCCTGCATGATTCAAACTATACACGTATGTTGTAATTTTACAGGTAGTGAGCAATACATGTAATGTGCATTATTTATCTTCCCATTGTGAGAAAATGTAGAACGAAAAAACATAAAATGAGTCAGCATTAACCTGTTCTGTATCAATATTTATTTTACATTCATTCTTCTTGTATCTGTTTCTGTACGCGAGGAAGTATAAAAGGATATATAAGCAAGTTACTATTGAGAAATATTACCAACATTAAATCAAATATAATGGATATATCATGGAAAAATCGTCTTCAAGAATATTGTCAAAAGCGAAAGATTTCTTTGCCTACTTATCGAATTAAAAATCAATCTGGCCCAGGACATATGCCGGAATTTCAGGTATTTACTTTCACATTCGATGAAATAATAGATGCTAAGAAGCTCTTACAAGTCTTATATTTCTTTAATGATTTCATTGTTTGAATTACAAATTTTACCAAATTCTAAAGTAGTAAGTGAAACTGATGTGTAAAAAATTTCCGTTTGATTCATATTTGCATAAATAATGGGAAATTGTATATTTTACCTATATCATAGTAACTGGGCATTTGAAAAAAGTTTATTTCACCATACATCTGACTTAATATATTGTACACATACTTTTAAGTTATAGTAAAGTATTAAAATTTTAAAGAATACTGTTGTTGAAATGATCAGATCGCTTTAAAGATATAATGCTTGTATAAGTTTTTTGTGCACATAAATTATTTTGAGAACTACTGCAAAAAATATCGCTTTGATTCATATTAATTTTTAGTTTTCTTAATATATTTTTAGGTTGAAGTTAAAGTAAATAATCAGTGGTATGTTGGTGATGAATCATGTGTAACCAAAAAAGAAGCTGAACACTCGGCAGCTAAAAACGCATGGGAATCTCTAATGGGTAGAAGTGTATATTCAGTTGAAACTTCGGAATCTTCACAACTCTCAACAACAGTCGATGCTTCTGAAGAACACTTGGATTCAGTGCCATCAGACTCGAAAATACCAGAGTTTAACTTAATGAATCATTTACCTGATGAATATGCCTATATTGAACAATTTATAGACGCTAAAGTTAAAGAACATGGTGGACGAATCCGAAAAATAGTACCGCTACGTACACCAGGACAATATAAATTCGAAATTGCTGGTCCTTATCGTTTCTGTGAAAATGTCCAACGACACCATAGAAAAAATCAAATCTATTTTCTTGTTCATCCTATGGAAAAAACATATTTTCAGAAATGTCATGATCCAGAATGTTATGGTTTTCGTTCAGTGTTGAAAAATATTGCAGAAGAACAAAAAAAAGCATTGATTGGTTCTAGCAAAAATCATTCAACAGATCGCTGTTCAGGTTGTAAAATATTGTTAACATCAAAAAATCGAAGCGAATGTGAACGTTGTGACGAAATGTTCTGTGGAAAATGTACTCGTGAATGTGAATTATGCTGTGATGCAATTCATTGTGAACGGTGTTTCGAATCATGTTTCGATTGTCATGATTCATAATTTAATCATATTTTTCAAATATAATCTTGAGAAATTTATTCAAGTTCTTCAATAGAACTTAAAATAATTATTTTTGTATCGCAATAATCTCAAATATGACTTACTGGAAAATATTTGTTCAATTTCGTTTAGAGTCCAATCAATAAGATGATGAATTTTTATAGACTTGAGTTGTTTTCAGTATTTGAGATATTTAAAATAATCATAGTAAAAGAAGATATCCTACACATTTGTTAGACAGTGATTTTATATAAAGCAGTTGTGTATATAGTTCATGATTGGACATAAATCATATAGATAACTAGACTAGTGTCATCTGGTTAATTAAAATATCAACTCCTTTAAGTAGAAGTGATAGGAGCAAAGAAATCAACAGTACACAAAGAGAAAAAGGGTATTTATAATAGAAAATAAAGATTCGATATTTAAAACAATTTCATTTACAACAACCAATGATACACAAATCTTCGAGTCATTTCACGTGTCACCACTACCATCATACGCTTCATCAATTACATGCAATTCATCGAAACATATGCCTTATCAATATGCTTATATTAAAAAATTTATCGCTAATAAAGTTGTAAAGGATAACAGTCGTATTCAAAAAATATAAACCGCTTTTGTGAAAATATTAAAATGAATTTCAAGGACGAATAATTCAAACTTTAAAAACACTTAAGAAAGACTAGTAAAGAAACTAAGAATATAATTGAAAAAAATATCTTTCTTTGTACATTTTAATAAAATGAAGAGATTAAATTATACTTATTATTCTATATAGATTATCGACATATTGAATCGAATAAGACAGGTATATAGTATTAGACCGATATAACATCATTATAGCCTTTTGAATGAACATCTACAATCATGTTAACCAAGCGTATGAAGTAAATTATATGGTTATTTATACATCTTGTATTAATGTAAGTCAGTCTTTTCAACACTTCATTTTATCCTTGAATATATCTCTGAATACGAATCCTACTATTTTAAAACTAATTATTCATCTAAATGTGTATGATTATATCTTTTTTTAAATATATATCTATGTATAATATATTCAATAGAGACCGATTAATTATATTCTTATCGAATATTATATTGATTGTACTTACAATGAATAGAATTCCTTGAGTTTATAAAAAGAAAGAAAAGATTTATGATTAATTTCAATATGTAAATGTATAAAAAAAAGAAGCTCTATCAATATCTGATTGATGAGATAATTATTGCGTAACATATTGCACTTTTACCACCCAATCGCTTCATTTATCAATGTCATTTGTCAAACATTGAAAAAAAAACACAATTATAACACTTAAGAAGCATATCTTAACTATGAATGGAATCATTTTCTACTTTCTAATCTAAACAATCAATTTCGAAAGACAAATAGTACATGAACAAATTGTTAATTATACACAATTTTATTGCTCGTAAATTTCTATGTAGAGGAGATCTTCAATGCCAATTGTTATAATATCATATACATATATACTATGAGATTCGTTAAGACGACCACTTCTATTATAAGTAGAATCTAGTTTAAGTATATTTGTCTGCATTCACATATTTGACACATCTCAAGTTTTATAGTGTTTTTTCTTTTCTGTCTCTTTCTTTCTTTCTTTCTATACACTAAGTCAAAGGTCGAATGACAAGAGACGATTATTTACTTGTCTCCTTATACTCGTCTGTTATTGCACGACTGATGACTGTTTGTAGTTCAACCGTCATTTTTATTTGCTTGAAGACATTATTAAGATTTTTACTTTAGAAAAAAAAAGATCAGTAATATAAACGAAAACAACCTACAGTTAGAAATGAAATGAGAGTCAAAGAGAAACAGAAAGAAAGAAAGAAAGAGAAAAGAACTACCGCTTCTTCTTCTTTCTTCGTAAGACTTCTGTTTTCGTATTATTACATACAATAGATGAAACGAAACAATATCAAACGTGCTCATTAAATATACGAATAATCTAACTTATAAGGCTGAAAAGGTTAGCATTCTATCTACAGGCTCTTATAAATTAGTTTTGATGTAGACATTATCTATATACATATACATACCCAAATTCGTTGAGTATATATGTACAACATAAATCCTCTCCTTGTCTTTTTTTCTTTTTTTTTTATCATCCTCGATCGCATTAGATTGACTATCAGTATTCATCCACTCATTCTTTCGATGTACAATTCAAGCGTGACTTATGTAGTGGACAACCAAATGATTACAACGTTTATATACGTATACATGATGACGAGTGTGGAGCGAAAGAGAGAGAGAGAGAACATTCTATCATAAATGATAATTACACACATGTATTTCTTTTTCTCTCTTCTCTTCTCTCTCTCTCTTTTTCTACTTCGATTTCTTTTTTGAACAAATATTCGCACGATGAAAAGTTATAATGTATATACTAAAGGAGAACGAATAAGTGAGATGAACAGGTATGATAGAAAGAAAGAAATGGTTATTTTATACCAACGATCATTTCTTTCTTTTACAAGTAAGAAGGATGCATATTGAAGGATGGCAAACACTTAACCTCCTACCTATCATGTACATATATATACATACATACATACATGTGTGAATATGAGATCTTCTCTTTATTACAAATGTGTTTCCTTTTAAATATTCTCTTCTTTCTCATTTAACTATGAAACCTTGTAAAATCACATACAGACATATTACAAGGATGATCAATATCAAATAAATTGTACAATATTGAGAACAGTTTCATTCTGCCTTTTTAGCATCATATGGCAGCTGCAATACCTCGTCATCTTCTTGAAACACTTGTCAATTGTCCAGCTTGTTCACAACGTTATACTGAACCAAGAGTTTTACCAACATGTGGACATACTATTTGTAAGTTGACAAATTCTTTTTTTTCTAATAATAATTATTTTTCTATAAATATAATATATAGGTACAACTTGTCTGGAAAATGAATGGAATTCACAAGAATCATCATCATCACCAACAACAGATACAATTGATGAAAAATTAATTCATTATTGTCCAGTACAAAATTGTCGAAAAGAAATATGTTCAACAATAAAAAATTATACAGATTTACCAATAAATCAAACGGTTCTTGATCTTGTTGAATCATGTAATTTTCATGTTGAAGCAACTGGACAATGTCAAGTTTGTAATCAATCACCATCATTTGTTAAATGTTCACATTGTTGTTTATTTGTTTGTTTTGAATGCGCAAATCAACATAGACGTGAAGCATTAACAACATTAACAAATAATATAAATACATTAGAACAAGACTATTTAGCTATGAATGATCTTATTGATCATGCAAGACATAAATTAATTGAAGTAAAACAAAAATCTATTGAAGGTATACGTTTATATTATACAAGTTTAATTGATGAATTACGTTCAGCACAAGCAACAAATGAAGATATTGTTGAAAGACAATCATCTATATGTACTAATGAACTTGAATCACTTATTGATGAACATAAACAACGTTGTGAACAAATAAATAAAACAATACAAGATTTACGAATAACAATAACAGATTGGTCAACTATTGAACAATTTAAACATTTACAATTAAATTTAACACATATACAAGAAGATATTCGTGAAGCTAATCAAGTATTTCATGAACGTTTACCAGAAATGAAATTATTTGAAATTGATAATGATGAATGTTTAAAGAAAAGTTTTAGTAAAAATCAAGATTCATCATCATCACAAATAGAGGAACTAGTTATAAATAATAATAATAATAATGGTAAACAAAATTCATCGGCTTCATCTAGAACGGCACGAAATCATCAAACAGATGGTATGTCACATATCTTATTATTCTTTACATGTCTAGTTCTTTTCATTTCTAATTAAAAAATATGTAGATTCAAGTAGTGCAGCTTCATCAACAATAAATAATGATCATGTAAAAGCTTCTATATCTACAAATGATCGAGCAATAAAAAAACACTCAAATGGTCAAGGAAACCATTATAAATCACTTAATACTATTGGACTTCAACAACAACAACAACAAGCATCAACAAATAGTTCCGATGATACAAATAATAATTCAATAATTGAACAACAAGTACCACAACAAACATCAACATCTTCTTCTTCAAATACAACTAGTAATCATCATGCACATCGTGTTCATCCACCTAGTTCAGCAAATTTATTACCAAAAACTGTTTCAAATTCTATGGCTGATTTATCTTTAGTTACACAAAATCAAAAAATGTCATTAACACCAACTCGTTTACCAACATTTCAATCCAAATTAGATAATTGTAATATTGAATCATATAAAAAAATTCCACTTTCACAAAGTTTCGATTGGGGAATGTTAGCAATAACAAATACAGATTTAATATTACTTTATAATAAAGATAAAAGTTCATTAGTTATATTTGATGCTAGTGGACATGAGAATGAAGTAAATGAATAAATAAAAAATTTTTTTAATTAACTTTGTATTTTTATTATAGAGAATTCAATGGTCTGATGGGGATATAAAAGATTTATGTATTTATCATGATGATAGTATAATTATAGTAGGTGAACATAAACAAGCATCAAAACCTATTGAATGTAAATTATATATATGTAATTTAACACGAAAACAACTTGAACGTGAACGTGTTGTTGAACGTGGTCTTAATTGTCAACGTGTTGCGTCAGATACACAATTTATTTTTTATGCATCAGAAAAAGGTTGTAATAAATCGAAAATATCTGTCTTTGATCATGAATTACAATTACAAATAACATTTGAATCTGGTGTTGAAATACGAAGTTTAGTTGTCGATAGCCAATGTTGTTATATATTAGGAAAAAGACGTGAACGTGAACCAGCAAGATATTTTCTTGAAAAACGACAAAAAAATGGTAAATTAGAATTGAATAGATTAATAAAAAATCTTTTTTGTTGTTTTTGAAATAGGTCAATTGGTCCGTCGAATTGATTTATATGAAATCAATGTTGATAATATGAATCGTTTGATTCTTGATTCAGTTAGTCATGGTGTTATTGTGACTGATGGAGGAAATAAAAAAGTCTGGGCTATTGGACCAGAAGGTGAAAAAAAAGCAATTCAATACAGACCATGGCGTAAGTATTTTATCTATTATAGAAAATATTCATTAATATATTATGTTTTTTTCATAACTAGCATGGAGTGTGGGTTTTTTAACAACAGATGTTTTACTTATTTTACATGCTGGTTGTTTAACTTTTCATGCAGTTAATCATCATAAACAAATAAATAATGGAACAAAAGTACGAAATACTATTACAAATACGGAAAAAGTTTGAACTATTCGAATTTTCTTTTTTTTTAAAAAATGCGCTATTATTGAACTGATAACATCTTTTAGTGTTTTAATAAATTGTTTTTCTTTATGATTATTCATTGATGCTAAAAAAGGAAAGTTTCTAAAAAACTAATATAATTAGTCATGATGTTCATTACGACGTTCTAAACGTATAATAGCTTCGGAAGGAGCAATAACAAAAGCTTCATGTAAATTTTTAAATGCTTTTTCTGTTTTATCACCACAACTAACTAATGAATATAATTTAAGTAGACGAATAAGAGTCATTTTCATTTCCATTAAAGCAAAACGCATTCCAACACAATTACGTGGCCCGGCGCCAAATGGTATCCATGCCATTGGATGACGTTTAGTAGCAAATCGTTCAGGATAAAAGATATGCGGATCAACGGGACCCCATAAATCATTATCAAAATGTAAAGTAAGCATGTCAATACCAATAATTGTACCAGCTGGAATTGTACCAATACCTTTGATTTGAAAATCTTCTGTACTTTGACGATTAATAGCTATTGGTACAATCGGATACATTCGAAGTGTTTCTCGAATGAACATATCTAAATAATCCATTTGTGAAATAGTATCATAAGATGGCATATCATGTTCATTTTCAGGATTAAAATGTGTATCGATATGTTCTTGTAATTTCTGTTGTTCTTCTGGATGAGTTGCAAGAACATAAGTAACATAACTAAGTGCTGTACTTGTTGTTTCATATCCAGCAATCACTAAGATATGGAAAAAAGTTGAGAGAATAGAAATAATAAATGTAACTTACTAAAGAGAAAAACATTAGATGCAATTTCATGTTTAGTAAGTTTTCGAATAAGTGGCATTTCAACACCTGTGTCATCGTTCGTAACAAATGATGCTCGACGATCCTAAATAAATATTCTAGTTAGTTTTTGAAATAAAAATAATATTTCATACATGAATAATATCTTTATCGGTTGCTGATTCAAGCATTAATTGTAATAAATCAGTTCGATTTGTTTGACCAATGAGTTGACGTTTATCAATGACCTTCTTTGTTTCTTTCATAATCCATTTTACTGGACTTGAACCAATAAATGTTTTTGTTATAGGAATATGATGACGAATCCAATTTCGAATGACACTTTGTACTTCGTCTAATTTTACCCAGAAAAGCTTTAGTTCGGTAATAAATAAAGCAAGAATAACATTTAATCGAAATTTTGGCTTAAAAATATCCTGCGAATGAGTAAGATACGGATCGTTGATATTATTTTGCATATCTGTATCAACACCAAAACCACATGACCATATTGTATCCATAGTAAATCGTTTAAAATATGCATATATATCAAATGGTTCTCCTTTTTTATATTCATTAGATAATTTTTCCATCAACACATCAATACTTTGATGAATTAATGGTGACATTTGTTTGAGTTTAGCAGATGAAAATGTAGGATTAATAACAAATCGTTGTCGTTTCCAACGTAGACCAGTAGCTCCGAAAAGATGAACATCTCTGCCATCTCGTTTCTCCAATGGAAATGAACGACGAGAATGAAAATTTGAGAATGATTTAATAAATACATCTTGTAGAACATCTGGATCAGATACAACTAAGATAGGTGAATGTCCTTCGAAATAACCAAAAATACGACCATATTTTTCAGTCCATTTATGAATACTCAAAGATGATCGTTTGCTTTTGATAATATCAAGAAAATTTCCAAAAAAGAGTACGGGTGGTGGGCCAGGGATATTAAGTTTTGTAAAAAATTCGTACGTCGATCGAATATGCCATAAATACGCAATAATTAAAATGCAAAGTACAGCTAGTAGAATGCAAGTACATAAAAACATTTTTTTTGCTAGTGACTCTGACTATCAGGACCTTTTCATAAACAAATGCAAATTTGTTTTTCTCCGTTCTGTGCGTACGACGAGAACGGGGTGAATGTTCTCGTTAACTTTCTCCTCTATTTTTCTTTACTAGTTGTTTTTCACCTATGCGTACCAGCGATTCTTTTTTTTTTCTTTCTTTTTCTTATATAAATCTGTTTTTGTAAAGTATTAATGATATGTTTTGTTTGAAGAGAATGGCACGTGGTATAGAAAAAGATAAATAGTATAAAACTCTTTGCTGATAAATGTAACATTCTAGGAACAAGGGTCAGGTTAATAAGTATAAAATAAATTATAAAAAGATGTAACTGCTTGAAAATTTTAGACAATTTAATACTCATACTATTCATCACATGATAGATTTATCTTTAAAATTATATTTTGTTGTATAATCTTAAGGGTGTGGTCGTTGATAGTCTCTGTATCTAACATCCGCACGCATCCACCCACACCCTTACGATAGTTTTCTGCCACATATATATTAGTAAAATATTATTTCAGGTAGTTCATTTATGAAAATAAAAAACAAATATTAAATTTAAATTAAATTAATCATAGTTTGATTCATAGAAAAAATCAATACTATCAAAAAAAAATACGCGATTTTTGTGGTAACTATTTTGACCACTGCATTTAAATTTTGTATTATTTGTGTATTTAAATCAAAAGTCTAATAATAAACTACTCTACTGATTCTTATTAAAAATTCAGAATGTTAAATTTTGTTGTGTTTTAAAATTTTCCTTATGAGGTAATAGTACCTTTAAATAATTCAATTTGAATGTACCAAAAAGAAAAATATTATTAAAAATGAAAATATCTTTTTATTAATAATCAACTTGATCAAAGAAATGAATATGACAATCAAGTCTATGAAGAGTAACAATAAAAAATTTTAATCCTTTTTTTTAAAAAGCTTTTTGATTTCATCAAGATATTGTTGTTCATTTAAAGTTCCATCTTTAAATGCCTTAAACAGATTTTTGATTTGTTCATCCACGTTATTAATGTTTTCCTAAATGCAAAAAAACATTTTATATCAATTAATAATAGTATAAGAAATTTTCAGATAATTTAAATATAATTTACTTCTTTTTCTGCCATATTGAACGAAAAAATGTTTATTAGAGAAGAAAAATAAATAACAGTATAAGATATAAACTAATACTCAGACGATATATTATATACAGACGATATATCTCAAAACATGACGATTAAACATTCCTCTATGAACGAAATAGACGAGAAAAATATAAAATCAGCTCATGTTCATCCAATTTGACGATGATTTAAAAATGTTTTGTTTTTTCTTTTTATTTATAGTTCATCTTATAACAATATTATTTTCCCATGACTGAAAAAGACTATTTCAAAGAAGCAATTGGTATTACTTAGGGCATATCAAGTCTTTATAGAGCGATATCAAATTCTTGAGATATTTTATAAGAATTTGATATCGCTCTATAAAGACTTTCAATATGCCCTATGCATTATCTTATATCATACTTGTTGTCCGTCATTTGATTCTTCTTCAACTAAATGAAATCCGTGTGCATTATTAATCTATTCACAAAAAGAAAATTAGATAAAAATTCATGAGTCAATCAGCTTGATATTACTTCACAAGTAACGCTCGTCTGCGGACTCGCTCAGCTCTTTCTCGTAGAAATCGTATTCTACAATACTAAACTTTTTGCTTATACAGTTTCGAAAAATTAACGCCAGATTTGTGTTCTTCCACCCCGCTTACCCTTCGGTCACCCCTTATGAAAATTGTTTTTTTATAAAAATTGGTTCTCTCCATAAAAAAGTGATCCATAAAATTATTTTATAAAACTAACATCAGATTCGAAGTCTTCGCATCGAAATGTCCCAAAAATGTCTTTTCTAAAAAATCGATTCTCGAATTACTCTCTGGTAAAATTTTCTTGGACCTATCTTTAAGATTAATAATATTAATTAATTATTAATTGATTTTTAACTAAAGTTAACCTCAGATTCGAGTTCTCCATACTCGATTACCCTTTGGTGCAACTTTTCCGAAAATATTTCAAAAATTAATAATATCAATTATTAACTGATTATTAACTCATTCATTTTAATAAACTAACTTCAGATTCGAGTTCCCCACCCTCGATTACCCCCCCAGTCAAAGTTTTCCGGAAGTATCTGAAAAATTAAATTTCAATGTTTTTTTGACCCTGCGGACACACAAGCAATCAAGCAAACAATTTATTCCTGCTGGACTCTTCTCTACGAGAAAGAGAATTATTATCATCAATCTCGCGAATAGCTTGATTGATTCCTCGTACATTATCTAATAGTGAATCAAATGCAACTCGATGGGTATCATACATGTGTTGCATCCATTTTATTCTGCTACCGTTTGCACAATAATTGCATAAAATACAAACATATTGATGGTTGCCTAAGTAAACAAAAAAATATCTATATGTTTTCATGGTGATAAAAAGAAAAATTTTGTTATTAAACTGATTTTTTAAAACTTTACCATCTTGTGGTATTTCATATTCATCGAGTAATCTAACAGTTGTTAATGGTACACGTGGCATAGTATATACGAAGAAAATTAAAACAATATCTAAGTAAATAAGAAACTGTTAATTATATATGTAGATATTATCTTAAATTGAAAATTAGAGATACTAGAATCATTTTTACTTTTTACTAAAATTAACAAATACTCTAAAACAAAATGTAAACAAAATCTTTTTATAATAAAATTAGTTTATATAAAATTATCGTTTTTCACTATTCGTTGATACAATCTACAAATAATTCGTTTGTTTTCCTTTTTCTTCTCACGCATATATATATCTATTCAAGCACGTGGTAAAGATGTGATACTGAAAAGTTTTTTTTATATTTTAATTTCATTAATCATACGAACTGGTTCAAAAATTTCGATCTCATATAGAGTTAATAAAAATTACACCATTGGATACAGCTTGAAAAAATGAATATATAGTAAAATGTTCTCGGAGGACACTCTCTAGTCCTCAAGAAAATTCTTTAAAAAAATTAGCCAGTAAAAATCACGATAATATCTTCTTTTTCTTTTCTCCTCTTTTTCGATGTACATGTGCGTGCGTACATATGTAGGAGCTGTTTATACTTTTGAGCTTCAATTAGAGATAATGAATAGAGAAGTTAACGTAAAGATAATTTATTTATAAAAAATAAAAAAAGCAAATATTTATAAAAATTTACAAAGAATAAACGTCATAATTCCAATCCCCTGTTGATGTTGTAATTGTTAAGACAATCATATCCTTTTGATTTGCTTCTGACTTTAAGTTGATATAATCATCCTGAGTTGCATTAGCTTTTAATTTATAATCTTTTGTAATCATATATGTTCCAATATTTTTTGCAATAAAATTTATTTTAACTGATTTTTTATTATAATTATGAATACGATAATTAATAAGTATATTTTGTTTTGATGTTGTATTAACTTGAGTAATTTCAACATCGATTAAACTAGGTTGATATAATAGATATGATAAACGTTGTATTTGTTGATTATTAAATGAAAATTTAAAACGAAATGGATCTGATGGAATACTTGTTAAATTTGTTATCCAACGATCATTTTCTGAATTATAAATTGATTGAAATGAATTTCCTAATATATTTCCATTGATTTCATCTACCATTGCTACCGAAATATCAGTTATATTAATTGAATTATCATCACATGTTGTTATAAGAAGAGCATTTTGATTTTGAATTAAATTACCTTCGAATTCTATAAGACCAGGATGAATAACATTATCATTATTTACATAAACACGTGAAAAACAATGAAATTTACTATAACATGATACTCGTAAATCAAATTTACATTTGATTGGTAACGAAGAAATAATTAATCTCCATTGACCAGGTAATACATTTGAAAATATATACGATCTATAATAAGTTGTATTCGTAAGAATATTTGATGATGAAAGAACTAGACTCCACTTTTGTAGTTGAATTGTCAATGATGATATTGTATCATTAGTAAGAAATTCTAAAATAAGATCTGAACATGTATTGTCAACATTAATTAAAATATTATCTGATGATGAATCTTTTGAATATAATAAATTAATTAATTCCGTTTGTTTATTTTGATTGATATTGATATTATCTTGACTTTTATTATAATTATATAGATAAAGACCACCAGTAATTCTTGCTAAATCTTGACCATAATCAAAAGAATTTTGTCGATACATTGAATTACGTAATATATCAATTCTTATATGTTTATGCGTTGCTATTGAAAGTATGTGTGATTTATAATAAGAATCTCTAGCTGGTGATAATACAATTTCTTGAATAGAAGAAAACATATCTGTTTTACGAATATCATTTAAAATATTTGTATAAACTAATGATGAATCTTGTTGTGATTTAGATGATGATGACGAAACAAGCATAAGTATTTTGCTAGAAACTGCTTTTCGATCTAATATATTAATAAACTTACCAAAGAGAATATCAAGAACTTGACTACGAAATTGTCGTAAAATTTTATATGTTGCTAAATAAGCTGTTTGAGCAGCTGGTACATGTAAAAATCCATGAATTGAATCAACAGTATCTTTATTAATACCACCAATAGCATCATTATTTTTTGTTGCATCGAATGTACCACCATGTGAACATTTACCTACTGGTTTCTTATGAATAATATCTGTAAGTAATTTAAAATAACCACTTGTTAAACCTGCTAATGTACAATTATTTGATGGACATATAGCATTTGTACCTGTTGAACAATTTGTACATGTTCGAACTGTTGGTGCAGCAAATTGAGCAGATGTCATATTATTAATACCAAGATCTTGTTGTGGTTCTCGATTATTCAATTCAATCCAATTTGAATGTGAATAAAAATCTATATATATATATTTATTAAAATCATAATATGACGAAAAAAAGTCTTTTAATAAATACCTTGTAATGTATGTGTTACTTTTCCGAAATATTCATTACTATTATCATAATCAGAAGAGTTTAATGAATCAATAGCTATTTTATAACGTGCAAGAATAATCTGTGATGCTGCAATAAATGATTCGGAATCAAAATGACGTGATTCATCTGTTTGTTCAACAACATCAACTAATGCATTAAATCCAATAATATAATCAATTGTATTTATCCAAGTACTATATGAATTTCCACCTTGTTTTTGTATTTGTGGAAAGATTGATTTTAATTGTCTGAAAAATGATGATGGACATGTACCATTTGTTATTGTAGGTATGGTTATATTAATCTGGAATCGTGTTTGAATATATTCACTAGTTATTGTAGCAAAAGCACAACGAGTTATAGATTCATGTGTTGCACTAGGCGAATCCGATGATAAAGATATTGGATTAAAACCATTTATCATAGAAAAATAATTAAATAGAAAGAAAATCAAAAGAATCATATTGATGTACATTTTATTATTGAGTTACTACTATCTCAATCAATCCAATATTTATATATCATTGATTACAATCGATTGACGTCATATATTACTAATTTTATCGTAGAATGACGCCGATCTATTATTACTACGAACGATAAAATACGGGTTTAGGTTTTACACAATAAGTATTCGTGACTTTTGTTTTGAATGGTTTTTCATTTATTATGACGCAAAAAAAAGACGAAAAACGAACATAATTAGTAATAAAAAATAGAGCAATAGTTAAAAAGTGATTGGAAATAATCGATGAGTAGGTGGTGCAGTTAAATCTAAAAATAGAGATAGATAATGTTATAAGTAATTTAATAAGGAAATAATTTTACTTACCACTTTCGAATCGAATATTCACTGGACGTTTATAATTTTTAAGAATATCATCTGCTGTTCGAAAAATTGGTTGTTTAAGAAGATAATTAATATTTGCTTAAAAGAAATTTTAATTATCAAGAAAAAAAAAGAAAATTTATATGGTTACCTTGATTAGGTAGTAGATCAGCTCGTTGTTGATCAATATTTGCAAGAATATCAACAGGTCGTTCCTTTAGTAAAAGAAATACAATATTGAAAATTATAATTAAATATTTAAGTATTACATTTCGTTGTCGTTCTTCCGCTTGATATTTAGCTAATCGTAATAATTTACCAAGAACTTCTAATGCAATTGTTTCTGTTGTTTCCGCCGGTTGAGCATCAAGGTCTTCAACAGCTAATTTAATACTTTTAAAAGTCCAATTTGGATAAATACGTGTTTTAATCTTAATAGAAGAAAAAAAACAAAATTTAATTGTAATATTTTTGTTAAAAGTACAAACATTATATGATATATTAAGAATAGATGCTTCTCGAATAAGCCCATCTTGAGTATTAATTGATTGATTAAGATCTTCAAGAACAAGTTTTAATGCTGGATTTGTTACTTCAAGACAATGAACAAAAAGAGTTGGAAAAATAAGTAAGAGACCAGTAGCATGTTGCGTATTATAGCTATCCGGTGTATTATGTTCATGATGTTCAAGACCTTTTTCAATAATACTTGATAATGAACTTATAAATTTTTGATAATACTCTATAAACAAAAGTTAAATTTACACAAAAAAACGAATAATTCAAACCTCCAAGTTCAGATTGTTTATCCCAAGTATCTCGTAAACGACCGATGATAACAATATTACTTACAAATGGCAACTAAATACAATATTTTAAATATCGAATAAATATTATTTTAAATATAATATACTTTTTTTTCTTTAATTTCTTCGAATAATGTTTGAGTAGGATAATCATTATGGTTTTCACCACCAATTATATCATGTGCTGGTCTAAGACGTTCATTTCGACGTTTATTTCGTACTTGAGTCATGATGTTTAAGTTAAATATTTAATTTCATATGCGAATGCTTAATCAAAGCATCATTCTGTTTTATAACGTCATAGTAACAGACTCTCTATCCAATCATATCATACGACATCTATTTGAAAATAAAATTTACTACAATTTTTTTTTCATTAAAGAACAGTTTTCGACATACGATAATTCAGTAATATGATTCTTTTCATTTAAATTCTATTAATACCAAGAATCTATTCTTGTAATAAATGTTGAACAATGTATATGAGATAAATCAAAAGATTTTTTTTTCTTCAGCATTTATCAAGACTTTGTAAATAATTGATCAGTTTGTGAAAAACATTTGTTTAGTCTCTCGATATTTATCATTTTATGTTTTTTTTATCGTTATTTTGAAAAACTCAACAAGTGAAATGAGTTTGATTTCTTTTTAATGATATCCGGTATGATTTCAAATAAAATCAAAACGCTAGAAGCTATATTATATGATAAAAATCGATCGCTCATTCAATTTGAAATGTCACTTGAGAGTACTAGTGTTCTTCCTGTCATCTTGAACATTAAGAACAAAGCATTACTTCTATAATCAAAAAAAAATGTATATATATCTTTTCGTCTAATCTTTTCTATGGAGAGAAAAAAAAAATTATTTTTATCTTAACAATGAATATATTATCAAGATAACAAATAAATTTGTGAGTAATAATAAAATAAATAATTAATTAAATCTAATTGGAAATCATCTCGATAGTATGACAAGGTAATACAAGATTATTTTGAAGAAAAACAATAACAGAGAATTTTAGATTTGAGAAAGAACAGACGGTAGTGTTAGAAAATGGATTGAACGTAAATTAGTTATTTTTCTTTTTTTTTTCTTCTTTGTCTACACATACAAATGAATGTCGATAAGATTGACTATATATACCGAGTAAACTAGTGTTTTATCGGTAGTATAAGGGATATTTTAAGAACAACACACGATCGTCATTTTCTCAATACGTTTTTCCCGGAACGCTTTTTTTACTAGAAAACTAGAATAAGAGAGAAAAAAGAGAAAGAGAGAGAGAGAGAGAAGGATATATAAAAAGGAAACAAATGAAGACTAACATATAACTTAACTCTTTTTTTTTACAAGAGAAGTATATAGTACGAATGTTAAGAGTAAAAATCCATGCAGGATAGTATAAATATAAGAGCAATTGTGTTTTTTTTAATTTCTAGATAATTTCTTTCTATTATTTAATTTCTTTTCGTTCAAAACATGTCAGCAACAAAAGGTTCATCGGATGATCTTCGATCTGAATTCGATCGACTTGATGGAGTAAGATTATTCTTAATAAAAATTAAATTTATTGTTTTTTTTGTTTCTAGGATAAAGATGGTCATATAACTTTAGAAGAATTTCGTGCATATTATTCAAAAGCAAATAAGGATGATACTGCTATTAGCAAAGCATTTACTGCTATTGATTCGGATAAAGATGGTCTCGTAACATTTGAAGGTATACATATATATTTATTTTTCAAATAAAATTCTTGATATTTTTTTTCTTCTCTTCTTCTAGAATTTCAACGAGCATATAAAGATTAATCAATAAAGACATTTAAAACTATGAATAATCACTTTTCTTTTTTTTTCTTCTCTATATGTCACTTGCACGTCTTTTCTCTTTATCATTTTGTTTTTGTGTGTGCATCAATCTACTTTATTTACTAATAATTCTAACATTAAGAAAACAAAAAAACGTATTTATTTTCACCAATACGAGTCACTTATTGTTCATTTGCTTATTATATACATATAAGTATTTATTTATTAAAATAATAAACATAGTCTTGAACAGTAACAAACAAAACTCAAATAGTCCTATCTATCTATCTAATAGGACGTTCAAATTTATTTGTATTCATAGAAGAGAAAAAACAAAAACATGCAATGTGATTATAAATGTCATTAAAACAAAGTGGTTGTTCGAATACAACTTCTGATGAAAGAGAAGCGTTATATATGACTGTGCAATATACTAAAGATTGAAATTAGCAGAAAAATATAGTGTCGTAATCAAAGATATGAGGTTAATATGGAACGGATCTCTTCAAAAAGAAAATGGAAAGTAGTACGTCTAATTGTTTAATTAAAATAAGAGCGACCGAGGTTTTTTTTTTTTCCTTGACATATATTTTCTTTTAAATTAAATGAGACAATTCCTAATAGAGTTTTTCATTAAAAGATTCCTCTTAGTTTAATTATTTTTGAACGAGAAGAATAATAACGAAGATATAGAAGTAAATATTTAAATAGAAAATCTATCGGGATCATTTTATGATAATAAAGAAAACTAATATGATGACATGCAAAGAACATGGATGTCTAAGCCATATTCGAAGAAATAATACAATATATTATTTGTTTCGGAAAGAGTATTTAAAGTACTCAAGCAGATATTATAAGAAGAAGTTGTTTCATTGATTTTATTTCTATCAAGAAAAAATAACTATTCGAATATCTAATGTTTTCTACTCTAACTAATAAGATTATAAATGTTCTATGTAATTTTTGTGCTAGAAAACTTCTCATTAAACTGATTATATTTCAAGATAAACACTCTTGGAATTTTATTTAAAAATCTTTTCTTGTACATACCAAATAAATTATCACTCATTAGATTTCTAATCATATACAAAAAATTCCTTTCCATTATATTCATAATGATAACACTGTTATCTTTCAATACAACAATCGGCTCATATTCATTTCTATTTCATCGAAAGACAAAAAAATATATGACATCATCACTATGAGCAGCAACAATCATTATCTTAAGCTATTCAATCGATATACATACCACTCAGTACTATATTATATAATAAACGAAAAGAGAAGAAAAAGAAAAAAAAGAATTTTCATATTTAAATAGACTGAAGGTGTTATATACATAGACAGAAATAAATATCTTAACAATTGAACAAATGCCAGTTGCAACAGTAAGTTACTTTTCAAGAAAAATAAAAATATTTTTTCTTTTCTTTTCTTTTCTTTTAAGATTGAAAATAAATCTGTACAAATTGATGATGATTTAACTGATTTATCATGGCTTATACAAATGAATAATACTAAACAACAACAACAACAACGTTATTCAACATCACATGAATATAATAATCATGAAAATAAAAATAAAAAAATTGAACGAATAAATAAACCATTTACAGTTGTTAATGGTCAAACAATACGTTCATCAATACCGGCATTTACTCATAATCATCAATATTCAAATGAAGAGAATCAATACTATTCTCATCAATCATATCATAATCAAACATCAAAACGTAAATTTGATTCATCAACAACATCATCATATCATCATCATCAGACAAAACGTTTTCATTCTGAACAAATTCTTCCTATTTATCCTACACAATCATTATCATCTGAATCATTCTATTTTGATTATTCACAACCATCGACACAACAGCAACAACAACGAACATCTCGATATATGTTACTTAAAAATGATCCATCACTTTCAGATACATTACCAACTGTTCATATGCCAACAAATTTTAATGAACCAATTCAAATGATTGAACATGAAAATATCTATACAGATGATATTGAACATTTATTAGATATATTTAAAAATGAAGTTGAAATGATTGGACTTGATCCAATAGCAACAACAAGTACAGGTGATTGTACGATGGATATGAATCATTGTTTATCATCAAATGAATTTTGTTCTTATTAACATTTGTACATTTCCTTTTTTTTGCACTTGTTAAGCTTTAATAATTATTAAAAATAAATTTTGTTTTTTTCTTCTAAGTTCAGATAAATAAATTATATTCAATATATTTTCTCATATTCGCAATTGATAGAATTACAGTAAAATCGTCTGTTTTATGAACGGTCTCAGATCCGACGGAGCGACTTTTGCTGGAAATGCATTTCTCCAATATGGACATCTTTTTATTCTGAACAGTGAACGCTTTTTTTCGGACCGGTCTGGTATTGTCACCTCTTCAATGTGTACATATATACAACGTTTTTTTTGATCTCTTTCTACTTTCTGTCATATGTTTTGATGAGCTGCCTGGTTCGAATTCGAAAATAAATGGTGAAATTTAGGAATAGATTCAGTTTTAGTTTCACTGTAAAATATATAAGAATAGGTATTAACTTTTCTTTTTTTAATATCCACTTATATTCGAACTCGAATTAGGCAGCTACTCGTTTTTGTATTGTAGTTCGATTTTTTTTATTAAAATCATTTAACTAATAATAAATGAATAATAGAATAGATACTCGGATGTTTCTCTACTATAAAGGTATAAGCAAATATTCTAAGATTTCTTCCATTTCAGGCTATGTTATATGTTAGCTCTCTATAGTGAATACTTTTTTTCGATCCCGATGGTGTTCATATTAGGGAGGTTTTACTGTAATACAAAACGATATAGAAAATTCGTCTGACAAATTTCCATAGTTTTATTCATGACTACATCTATGAGTAACCTTTTGTTATGAAATAGAAAAATGCAAGCAGATTTTCGTATATAAATATCAAAAGTACCTTTTTCTAAACTAGTATAATAATTGATCGATAATCTGTTGAAAGATTGCACCTAGTAGCGTAACCAAAAAATTGCGGCTGCCCTATGATCCTTGAAAACAATGTGTAAAAAGTAGTGTAAATGATGGTAATTATTAGGTTATTTTCTGCCGGTGCCCGGGCAAAGACTAGTGCCGCCCACCCTTGGTTATAAAGTCTTTACAAAGTAAAACTTATATTATTCTATATGAATTAAATGAAATATTTACGATATTTTATAGAATAAAAAATGTTAATAATTTTTAAAGTATTTATTTTCTATTTTAAAGATGTATCAGATATTATAAATAAATGATTTACAACATTTTTAATAGGTGTATCATGATGTATTGTTGATAAATTTTTACATTTTCGACAATTATATAATGTAATTAATTTGAAAAATTCTCTTCGAAATTCTCTAAATGTTAAAAAATAAACAGGAAAACCTAAAATATGATAAGTATAAAGAATTGAATCAAGTGCATATAAAATATGTTCATTTCTATGTGAAAAATATGCATATGCAATTGAAACTGGTGTTGTCATTAGAAAAAATAAACATGTTGTTAAAAGTAATGTGATTGAAATTGATCGATGTTGTATTCGAGAAGTTTTTCTTACTGTACTTATACGTCGTAATAAAATTAAATGATAAATAATTCCACTATTAAATATAATCATAAATGAAAATGGAAGACAATTATATATAATTAAATTAACACGATCCCACATTGGATAGATTGTATAATAACGTGATTCAGTATTAACTTGATCATTTTCATAATAACAAACAAAAGGAAATATATGTAAATTAATTAAAATAAAACTTAGCATTAGAAAACTAATAAGAATTAGAACATTTTTTGATATACTAAACCATGTTCGATGTAAACGACTTAATGATAAATAACGATCAAAACAAATAAATACACGTAACCATGCTGATACATGATAAATAAAATAATTTAAAAATGTAAATATTTTACATGATATTACTGAATAATTTGTCATTTTAATACCAATTGTTCTTTCAAGATATTGATCTAAATTCCATCCATATAATATTAATATATCAAATATAGCTATTGTACGCATATAATGAATTGTTGGTCGTTTTCTTGCATTTTTAAATGTTGTTCGACAGAGAATAATAAATGTTAAAAGATTTAATATAGTACCAAGAATAATTAATATTAATGGATAATAAATAATAAAAAATGAAAAGATTTTTAAGGAAATATTCGTTCCATTAAAATGATTTTTCATTTGATGTCTCTAATTACTTACAAGTTTCTTGATTTTAAATTTACTTTTTAAACGTGTTGATATATATATATATATATAAGAATTGTTTGTAATGATAGTGCAAATGAATACGGACTAATGAAGGAGCTTCTCTCTCAAGTATTCTATCTAATATCCTTCGTATGTCTCACTTCTGACATATTTTAGAAATTGTATACATTATTATCAAACCAAGGACTTAAACATATATAGACTACGAAGGTTGATTTTTTCGAACTTGGAACTCTAACCTTTTAATCAACAATTATCTTCTAAGTTTATATAAGAGATTCTGCATATTTATCAATAATCAAAAAGAAAGAAAAAACAAACATGATTGAATATAATATTCTCATCATTATTCAAATAAATCTCCAATAATAAGTATCTATTTTTTTTGTCTTCTTATCTAATAAATACATATAATATAAAAAAAAAGAACACAATATCATCTTCTTCTTCTTTTGACAAATAAATATTACAATTTCATAAATACATAACAGAACATATGAGGGATTATTACCGATTGATAGAAAAATATATTCAGATTATGATCGTAAATGAATTATAAGAACAGAAAAAAAATATTTAATATAATAATTGTATTGATGAAATATCGTCAAATATTTGATCATCATCAAATTGTTGTACGCTATGTTCTAATGTAATAGCGGCAAGTTCTTTGAGAAATTCATTAAATATAACAGCACAATAAGCAATATTACGTGTTTTAGGATCATCCCATTCACTTACAGATACAGATTGATGATTTTCACGAATATTAATAAATCTTAAGAAGAAAAAATTATTTTATTTTAATTTATTTCTAAACATATTACTTCATCGATGTTTTATCAATTAATGTTACTTGAGAATAATCACGTTCTTTGATATTATTATCTACTCTTTCGGATACTCGACTACGACCACGAAAAAAGTTCATAATACGTGTTCGTTTTGAGACAGGTTCTAAATTAATAAAAATAAATAATAATTTTTCTTTTTCTTTCAAATGTAGGAAACTAGAGAAAAAAATATGGGAAATTATGACAACTAAACATGCGAGATAAAAAAAATACAAGAAATCAACTGCAAATAATAGTACATGCACAACCTTTTATAGGTAATTGTTGAATTTCAAAAAAAACTCGTTCTTCTTCTGGAAATAAAAGTAATAGAAGGAAAATCTTTTTTTAGTTTTGTTTATTTACCTTTTCCAGGATCAGCTGATTTTGATCGTGTACGTGATGGAGAACGTGTTCGTCTAGATGATTCCTCAGATTCCTAAAGAAAAAACAAACATAACTTATATATATATATACATTAAAATAAATATACTTTAGTATTATTTTCTCTTTGATATAATGTTTCATGAGCTAATTGAACAAGATTATTAAAATCATTATATGTTTGAGAAATGGTTTCAAGTTTTGATTTGAGATTTGAAAGAATCTAAAACAATAATATTAAGAAAAACAATTTTGCTTTTTAATATTATTCATTTTACTTGAAAAAGTGATTTGACATTTGTTTCGAGTACAAGACTATGATTCAATAATAATGAACGTAATAATGGTTGAGAATAATGTGCTAATCGTGAGATTATACCAGTTAATAAAAGATTTACATGTAAAGGATTTTGTAACATATTTTCTAATTTGGAAAATATTGTTCGGAGAAATGGACCTATAGAGAAATAAATACATAATAGGATATACAATTGTTCGATAAAATCTAAACGTTCGTTTCCTACAATCTTTATATAGAATCTATAATTGCAATAACAAAAGCAATAAATTATTAGTTCTAGTACTGCTCGATACAAGCTTCAAAACAACAACATAGATAAACGTTTTCATAAAGTTATTGTTGTATTCTTGAATCAATAAAGAAGATATTCTAGTATAATTGAGGGTGGATGTCAGTGGCGGATCTAGAATTTTGGAAAGGGGAGGGGACGATTTTGGCTAAAAGCTATCTATTGAATCCAATCGAAGTAATGTGAACCTATTTTTTCGTTCATTTTTGCTGTAAAAAATCAAAAAAAAATTCGGAAGGGGAGCGATCACCCCCATTAAATCTGCCACTGTTGGGTGTGTTGGCTCATCTCTATATCAACTAATTAAGACGAAATTAATATGTCATTCATCAAAATTTGATCCTCAGTAAATTATTTCTTTTTTACAATCGGTAGTAAGATGATTATTTACAAACTGTAAAACTATTGAATGAATATAAGTAAATCAAATGAAGCATTTTTTTTACAAAGTAATTCGTTAATTTATTATTTTCCGATCATATGAAAACAAATCCCCTAATGATCTTTTTTCTCTAATAAAATAGCAAAAATCTCCTGAGAAATCGAATAGATATCTCAAGAGACAAAGAACTATATAGAACATTTTTTTGTCTATTATTAAATAATTCTAAAAAACATACCAATATCAGCTGTTTTACCAGAAATTGTAGATGTTTGTTGTTGTTGAAGACTTGTTGTAAAAAGATTTGATTGTGTTTGATTTGATAGATCATTTGCAACTAATAATGACATATCCATTGATGTTGATTGTGGTAGAAATGAAATAATAGAATAATTTGATTGTGTATTTGATAAAAAAAATTGTAAAGGATGTTGAATATCTAGTTCATTATTATCAGAAATAATTATTGTTCGATATTGCTCAATTTCTTCAGCAATTAAAAGAATTTCATTTAATAAATTTTCACCTTTTTTTGTTGAATTTTTAGCATATTTATCTTCAATTAATCGATCAAGTAACATTAAATATTCATTAAATGTTAATTTTTTTGTAAATAATTCGTTTAATAAATTTGAATCTAAGGATATATCAACAAAATTTTCTATATTTTCCTGTGATTCATTTTCAATTGAATTTTCTATTTGATCAATTAAATCATTTAATAAATTTGTTACATTTTCATCGATATCATTTTTTGGTTCATTCATTTCACGAAAATGATTTAAACAAGTATGAAGTGTATCAACACATGTTTGAATTTCATCACGTATATGATTATTAGATGTATTTAATGATTGAATAGACCATGCATCTTCATGATCACCTGGAGAATTAATAAATGAAAATGCATAAAATGCTGATGGACGATCATAATCATCATCATCATCTTCTTCATTAATATTATTATAAGTTGAATGATTGACTGTTGAATGTTTAGCAAGAAGTTCATCTGGTATAGGTTGATTATTAGCGAGCCATGATGGTAATTGAAATGAATTTTCTATTGTTTTTTGTACATGTTCTATTTGAGAATTCATATCTAAACCATCGACATGAATACCAGAATCATTTGATATAGCAACATTTTTTCCTAGATTTATTGATTGTTTTGGATTTGAAATATTATTTGATTTTTGCGTATTATTATTATTATTATCATTATTTAATGATGATATACTACTTGCTAATGAAATTAAATCCATTTCTCCGATAACTGCATCAGGAGATGGTGTTTCACTATCATACGGTGCCGTCCAACAACGACAAGCAATACGGCAACGTGCAATATTAAAATGTGCATCCTAAAATGAAAAGAAAAGTCAGTGAAGAAGAATATTTAAAAGAATAATTTTATACTTCAAGATAAGCAGGAAATGTAGATTCATAACGTTCAGTTAATTCATTATGTTGATCAAAAGTGACTCGTAGTTGTTTTGATCGTACTTGTTCGATACTATCCGAATTATCATTTTTATTTGAAAATGATGGTCTTAATGTATGAAATTTTTCCGCATTTTTTCCATAAATTTCAACATCAGTTATATGACGTCGTTGACTTAACATAACATGTCGACATGGAATTAAATACCTAAGAAAAATTTCAATAAACATAAATCAAAATAAATCGTTTTTTTTTACATACATAAAAATTAGTCGATACATAATATCTTCACAATTTAAATTAATCAATGTATTAAATAATCCAAGTGAAACTAAACCAAGTTTTGTTGTAAAATTAATTCGATTAATCAATGTATCCAATAAACTAATTTCATCGATTTTAGCACAGAGAATAAATTTTAAAAAAATTTTTAATAGAGCTGGTTCATAAACAGTACGTAAGAATAAATCTAAATAAGCTGTTGCTGCAATAACTTCATCCATGGTATTCTATATAAAGAAGAAAAAATAGAATTAGAAGATTATTTGTTAAATAAAACTAAAATATTCTAAAGAAGAAAACTTTCATGCAAAGAAAAGGTGATGTGCAAAAGGAAAGGTGAAACAACAAAACAAGGAAAAATCAATCTTTGTGTTCGTATATTGACATTTTTTTGATTTCAATCAATATTTACCGAAAACTGTTGTAAATCAGAAAATTTCACTGGTATTTCATGAAGATCCTATGAAAGAAGAAATTTGCACCCAAATAGCCACATAAAAGCTTTCATCAATTTAAGCACCCGAAATTTATTAAATAGGTTTAAAAAAAAACAAGCTTACTTGATGAATACTCGGACCAAGAACAGGAACAAGAAATCCATGATAAATATATTGTAAAAGATGATGACCAATACTCGGATGAGCAATCTGATTAAATATATAAAGAAAAATTTTTTCAAATGAAAATAATCTTTACTTGAATAACATCATTACAAAATTGTAATGAATTCATAAATTGTACTAATGATGCATTTTCTGACCATTCTTTTTTTGTTAATATAAACCAATCATCATTATTTGTTGTTAAACGATATGGTAAATCTGAATAAAGTGCACTTAAACCTGTCGCTAAGATCTAAAAGATAATCAAAAAAAAATACTACTTAATTATAAATTAAAGCCTTTTTTGTTTTGTTTACCGGACAAAAATTCGTATTTTCAACGATGTATTTAGCTATATGTTCATTTCGATTAGATAATTGCATGATGAGTAATAATGCATCACGAGCTTGTTGACCTAAAATCAATTATGATTAGAATATATGCAAATAGAACTAATAATCAAATGCAAACACAATCACGAAAAATCAAACATGCTGCAATCGTTTCTAGAAAAAGAAAAGGCTTTAAAACTTGTTTTTTTCCCAACCTGTAGTAATACCCTGTGCAGATGGTTTATCTAAATAGGATAGATTTCTCAACGTAGGATATTGAAAATTCTTTTTTTATCTTTTCAATAAAGAATTTAAAACAAACAATAATCATACCAGCAAGTCCTTCACGATGAACGAATGGAATCAGGAGAGAAAATATGACAAATCTTGATGGACCATGATCAGCACTGATATCAAAACAAAATTCCAATAATTCAGGACTTTTTGTAATACTAACACAAACCTAGAATATATATTCAATCATTAGTTATTATAGATAAAATAAAAAAAATTATTTTTAACATAAAATTCGCCTTGTACTTTCATCAATAGATTAACTCTTCGTTTTTTATATAGAATGCATAATATATCTTTCAATATTCATTAGACTGCCAATTAAAGAGATAGCTATTGTTATTATGTAATACAGAAAAAAGAAAACCTTAATGTCAACGATGTTTGTATATATAGATGGCATTATTATGATATCATCTATGGTTTAGAAGCGTGTAATATTATTTTATTATTTCGTACTTGATTAAGTACAATGATCATATGTTTTTCAATAAGTTCTAATGATGTTGATGATTCACATGATCGAAGAAGATTCAACAATGGTTTAAACTAAATATATAAAATAATATATATTTATAGATATATATGAAGTTGATTAACCTACAATTTGTTTATGAAAGAGAAGTTCATGTTGAGACCGACTAAGAAGAAATTCAAAACAACGTAACTGATGATATTTAAGTTCAGATGCATATTCCGGACAACTTAATGACCAAATAAAGAATGTATCCAGTATAGATTCCGAAATAAAATATAAGAGTACAGGACCGGGACGATCGTGACTAGCGACTTCATTAGTAAGTAAAGTGACTGCGTGATGAAAATGTGATATTACACAACTGATATCATCTTGATCAACTAAAGATTTTTGAAATATTTGTAAAATTTGTTTCCAATGTTGTCGAAGAACCTAAATTTTATCATAAAATAAAAAAATAATCATCCTATGATATTTATTATTTTCTACCTCTTCCGTTACTCTCATGAATTCCATTGATAATATACAATACTGAATCTTATTGTAACAGTCTTTCTTCTTCTTCTTTTTTTCTCCCTCTCTCTCTCCTCTTTCTTTTATCGATCCAGATATGTTGATCGTTATGATGTCTGTCAACTAGAAATAGTCGTAGTATCGACGGCAGAGAAAAACAAGCTAATAACTAGAACAACGATGATTCATTTTTATTCCTTGGTTTTATGATGTAACACTTCTATTCGAGTCACGTAGATTATTAAAGTTGTAACAAATTTAATCTAATCCATAGATCGTATAGATCAAGGATATTAATCTATTTCAATATAAAAAAATAATCTTTAAACTAACCGTCACTTCAACACTACTCTCGTCGTCCAAACTTTCAGTACTACGATATCGTTTCCAATGAAGAGTCATGATGTTTGTACCAAGACATCTACAAAAATATAGAATATAATTGATTGTTTGAATAAGAAGTGAATCGCTTTTTTTTTCTCTTTCGAATAGGAAATAAATGTGAGAAGAAATAGGTATAACAAACCATGCTTCATTAGTTATCGTGTATCATCAATCGATTGATAGTAATCGAGAGATAGTCAGTCCTTACCGAACGCAAATATTTAAAAATACCGTGACTCATGACAATCCATAGAAGAAGACAACTCGTTCGTATGCATGCAATACATCTTTTTCTTCAATGATAATTGACCAATGCAAGTAGATTAATGATAATTTATATATGATTTTCCATTGAAATTATTCATATTGTAGTTTTCGATGTGAAAATAACAAATCTATAATAAATATAAGTTTTTATTACTGATATATTTACGATTCGCGTGGATAGATGTCGCTCGAGAAATATTCAATCAGATGATGTCTTATTTATTAACACTAGATAGCAATCGATCGATCGCAATTAGGTGAAACCTATGATTTATATAGTACTATACATTTTACATGTCAACATAGACATATAATTTACTTTAAGTATGACATTGATATCAGTCAAAACAAATTCAATAACTTTTTTTATTTCAATAAATCACATGATCAACAAACTATTATCTATTGATACATACATAAGAGATTATGATTACTTTTGATAGTTGACCGCCATGTTAATAACTTAAAAAGTGTGAAGATAATCAAATGTGTGAATATATCAAACGAAACTATTTGATAAAAGATATATATCCTAATTTTCGTAGTATCAATTCTAATTATTTAAAAAATTAATTTTAAAATATTTTAATAAACACGTTCAATTACACAATTACAATAAAGAATATATATCTATAGATGACTATACGACATTACGAACACAAATAATGATTAAATATGAATATTTTTTTTGAAGGTTTTGTAAATTTTAATATTAAATCTATCTATATGTATTGTCTATAACAAATGAAATGATTTATTGCAATGATAATATTTAACTCAAATGTCGCAAATAAAGTTTGTTTTTAAGATTTTGTTTTGGACGATTGCTTTGTCTAAATCGAGATCTGCGACGTCGAAGAAGATCACGTTCTTTACAAACTGGATCAATACCAAATCCATATTTTAAAATATCCATTATAACGACAAAACCAACAACTACTGATATAGCAATAATAGCAATATAACCAAATGTTTTTGAAACGAACTGGCGAACAATTAGACTTTGTGCTACATTTTGACAGTAACGCCCCGAGAAAATATCCGATATACATCTACATTCATAATCAAGAAGTAATGGTTGACAAATACCCTTGTTAAGACAAGTAACATTATGACAATAGTTAACAATACTTTCACAATGGATACCAGTGCGTCCATTTGTACAATTGCAGAAAAAGTGTGTGCTATTAACATTGGTGCAGTTACCTTATATAAAAGAAAACATATTTTAATGATTGTGAGAAAAATACGAAAACAAATTAACTATGATTACTTACCGTCATGTAAACAAGTATTTAATTGACATGGTTGAATATTGGTTTCACAATTCGTGCCACTAAAATCAGGTTGACATAGACATGTATAACCAAGAGGATATGTTAAATTATTCGTACAAATACCACGACTTTGACAAGGTTTATAAATATCGCATGGTTGAGATGAAATATTACAAGAAAGTCCAATTACATTTGAATCGGAACAGTTCGGTGCAACGAAATAAGATACGGGCTGCGTATCTAAATCTAGGAAATATCAAAAGTAAGATTTTTTGATAAAATAACTAAATTTAGCATAGAATCAATTCGATTTTTCAACTAGTTTTAATAGAAAAAAAATCAAACAGATATGTATTCTTATCACTTGGTAAGAAGTTTGTTTTACTCGAAAGTTTGGTATCATCTGTTACAGTTGATATTGTTGATAAATCAGTAGAATATAAAATACAATAAAAGAATCTTTTATTGTAATTTTTTAACATTATCATACATTTAGTATCTAAGAAAATCATAAAACATACCAGATGACGTTTCGTTTTTTGAATAGGTATAAGTTGATTGTGAATTGTCTGATTCATCTAAAATAGTTTTATAAATGTGTATTATGTTGCAATAATGTTATAAAATCAATGCATACAGATTTCTGAACTCGACGAGGAATTGGCGGTGTCATTACCATAATCATCTGAAATAATTAAGGTAATGTATAATCTCATAAAAATATAGTTTAAATATTAAATACCTGTATATTCTTTTGGAGGTGGACCATATGTTACTGTTATATATTCCGTTGCGTTTTCAACTAAAACAACAGATATATTTTTTAATTTTTGATAAAAAAAATAATGAACCATGTAAAAAACGTTTTCTTTTAAATAACAATTAAAGTTTAACGTATAAGTTTTTCATAGCTCAATAAAAGTCAATTTGATGTGTTCAATCATAATCAGATATTTTAAATACGATTATATTATACAAATCATAATAATCACGGGATATTTATTTGAATGATTGATATGATTCTTTCTAGAAGTTCTATGTTGTTCGTTTTTTCAACGAGAAAAGTATGTTGTCAAAATGTAAGAATATGATTAATCATATTGTTATCAAAATTGTATTTACAGTCTTGAAAATAAACTCAAGTTGAATCCGTTAAACTAGAATCAGTTTGAGTAATAGTCTATTTTCTATTGAGTATTAATTTTACTTACCACAGTTTTTCAATTTGGGAGTAAATTTTAGAATTTTCTTTCTGTTTTGATTACTAATAAACATATTTCCAGATCGATCGAAGCTAATACTATCTAGTTTTGATACTTTAATTCTTCCAAAGAAATCTGGTTTTTCAGAATGCTTGATTAAATATCGACACCGAGTAAAATTTGAGTTGACAAATATGATTCGATTATTTTTGCTGTCTACAACATATAAATTATTTTCAGCATCCAGTGTAATATCTGTCGGTTGTTGAATCTTGCAATCGGATATTTTTTCCGTAGATACTATCGTTTCCTCACTTGTTTGTCCAGATTTAAAAAGTAAAATTCTGTCATTCCCATAATCTGCCACATACAAATCAAAGTTGTCGTTAACAAAGATCCCGTGAGGACTTTTGAGCTCATTTGGTTTGGGTTTTGGTGTTGTTGTTGATCTAGGTTTTCCTCCATTAGGTCCTCCCCCAAATCCTCCTCCAGGCCCTCCCCCAAATCCTCCTCCAAATACTCCCCCAAATACTCCCCCGGGTCCTCCCCCAAATCCTCCTCCAGGCCGTCCCCCAAGTCCTCCCGCAAGTCCTTCTAAAAAACCTTCCACAACTCCTCCTAAAAATCCTCCCCCAGATCCTCCTCCAGATCCGTCTCCTGATCCTGGTCTTGGTGTTGATATTTGTTCAACATTTACGACAGCTGCTGTCCATGAACTAGAATTAATTCTGAGTGATCTCTTCATAATTGTATGAGAATCTCTCATAGAACAGTAAATTGTATCATTAGTATCAACAAATAGCCCGTAACAAGACTGACGAGATGACAGGTCGATTGAATTAAAGAGTTCACCTGGTGACCATGTATCAATGGTACCTAAAGCACCATTATCAATATAAATGGTACCATCAGACGTGACAAAAAGACTTTTTGGTTTCTTCGAAGGACGTTGCCAAAACCATCCGTTGAATGGGTACCAAGATAGTGGTTTCAATGGTGGTGGATTTGTAAACGACCATAATGTCGTCATCAGAATATTTGTACAGCCACATACATAGACCTGATTATCGGTATCGATAAAAATATCTTCTAACTCAGATCCACCAGAAGGACATGCAGGTGGTATAAAGTCGTGGCTGTACACCCAATCAGTCTGACATATGAATTTAGGCCGATTGTAGAACGCTGAAATGAACAGAAACATAGGTTTAACATTTCAAAAGTAGTACTGATCTTTTAGAATTCTTCATTGATATATAAAATAGACAATATGGGATAGCAGATCGGCGTTTTTATTAGAATCAAAGGCAGTTAGTGAATAGAATATGACTTCATTCAGCAAATTAATTCAATATTTTTATTTTATTTTATTATTGCAATTGATACCAACAACCTAGCTACATATCACTAAGCAATTACAACAGATGATAGAATTTTTCTGGTATTGTTTAGATACATATACTCATTTTTGCATCAGCAAAAGTACTTATAAAATAGATTCTTTCGATGGTATGTGTAATAACGCAATTTGATAACTTTACTACTATGTATGAATAGCAACAAAGTATGTAGTAAAAGATACTATAATTATTTTATAGATCTAATATTCCACTTATAAAATCTATCTCATAGAAAAAAACATTACCTTAAAAATGAAAGGTTAAAGATTTTCACATGAAGAAGCAGTCAGCTATAACTGAATCTGATTATTCAGATAATACATACAATTTTATAGAAAGTTCGTAGGAACCAGCACAATACATTTCTTCGATATAAACGATATTGGATTATATTAAGTTTGAAAAAAAGAGAGCATATTCTAATAATGTAATAATTAAATTAATAGATAGAAAATATACTCGATTTTTTTTGTATTTTAGAATGCGTGTTTCTTGTAGTTAATTTAAAAAAAAGAAAATTCACTAGATCCATTCTGTATAAATGCGGCTTTTAGCTATTTTGAATTTAATACAAAAGAAATTAGATTCATTTTTTCGATTCCCTGAAAAGGGTATTTAATAAGGCATTATAAAATTAAATAAAAAAAAGGAATGGATTTGTAAAACTTTTATTATCGATAAAATAAACAAACTACTCTGATCTATTCAATAAAATCTTCGATCAATTCTACTTCTCAGTTTCTGTTAGAATAGATGACTTGTTATAGAAACTAATAATCGAAATGTAATTCTCACTTATTACATAAATCTTTTCCGCATATACTCTCACAAACAAAACAATCAAAATTAGACTACTCATATATATTCCAAAGATTCATTGACAAACACTGTATATAGAATTAGTCAACAAAAGATGTGTTGTAATGGTTATTTATCACCGAAGTAATAGTCATAAAGTAGTAAGTATCTCGAATCGTTTAAAAATACTTTACCTACAGAACCTGAACAAGAATTTATCCACACAATTATTAACAGCAAAATGCCAATTTGTATTGTTTCAGACTAAATTTTAAACAAATTAAATAAAATAGACCTAGAAAAAAATATTTCATACCATTTCTAAATCGATAAAATCGTGTCAGTCCTTGTAGACTAACTTTATCTGATTGATAAATAGAAAAATAGTTACAGAATAAAGAATAGCAAGTCATTTTATATTTCTCTTCTGATACTACAGTAACTTAAGATGTTTTCTTAAAAATTATGTGCGTCATTGAAAAGCGATTAATTTTCTCAAGAACTTGAATAAGTTAACAAAAATTAAGTCAACTATTTGACATGTAAAACTAAAGTAAAGATTCATATTTCTTTATTTACATAATACAAGAAAAATATTAATTTATTTTTTCCGTAAAATATGTTTTTTATTTATTAAATAAATTCCAAGTAATATGAAACATTAAATTATTTTAAAAGAAATAACAAGAAAAATAAGAAACTATTGTAAATATGAAATAGAATCTTTGTTTTTTGAAAAAAATAATTGCCAAGTTATAGATGAATTATAATTAAAAGAATTATTTTTTGTGTTATCAAATCCTGAGTGTTGAATTTATTTAACAACTATTATTAATAAGACTGAATCAAAAGTTATATTTTACTTTTTTGCATTATTATTTCCACATGCATTTTAGATTGCAAATAGAGAAAATTTACACATATATATATGCATAGGAAGTTAAGAATCAATACTCAATGAAAGTTATATATTGTGTCTAGTTATGAGAACCTTTTAATAATTGAAAATTTTCGATATTTTCAAAAATAATTATAAAATATCAGCTACATTCAAAGCATTACTATAGGTATTATTATGATTATTTCATTTATATAAAATGAAACAAATCTGTCAAGAAAATAAATACAGTGCATATACAGTAAAACCTCCCTAATGTGAACACCACCGGGACCGGAAGAAAGTGTTCATTATACGGAGGTGTTCACTATAGAGAGTTAATATATAACATAGCATGAAATGGAAGAAATCTTAGAGTATTTGCTTATGCCTTTGAGTAGCTGCCTAATTTGAGCTCGAATATAAACGGATCTTAAAAAAAGAAAAACTAATACCTATTTCTAGCAATAGATTTAGTTTTAGAATAATTTTCAGATAAATCTGTCTCACCCACTTTGCCACCTTCTTTCACCCACCCCTTAGTCGTATATATGAATCATATACATCTTAGAGTAACACTAAACCTAAAACTGAATCTATTCCTAAATTTCACTATTTATTTCAGAATTAGTAGTGTGCAGTTGGATATCTATTAATATTCGAATTCGAATTAGGCAGCTCATCAAAACATATGACACGAAGTAGAAAAAGTCAAAAAAGCAACATATATATGTCCCTAGCAAAATTTACTTTTCTTTCCGCGTGGAAATTCGAATTGTATTTTTTTTTTGGTTGGGAAAATTCGTAATAATTTATAAGATAAATAACGTATCAATTGCTTAAGAGAAACTTATTTTAAAATATTTTATTGAGTAGACATGATATTCGCACGATCTGATATGATAAAACTTATTCAATGAGATAAAAATAATTATTCTACCCACCTCACTCATGAAAAAAACTTTATGATCTTCTTTGAAACAGTTTTCGTTATATTTCGTTTTATACATCCACCGCACTCTACATCTTTCAAAACTTTATTTTATTTTCTATTCAAAACAACTTGCGAACTCTACATCTTCCTAAAACTATATTCAATTTCAATTGAATTCAACTTACAAATTCTAAAGTTTTGTAAAATTTAAAACTATGATAAGGACTGAATTATCGTTTTAAATTTTTAAAATTTAGTTTAGTTTTACCTAAATCTTAATTCTGTCTGACATATATATATATTCACATTGGATAGGTGACAATACCAGACAGGACCGAAAAAAAGCGTTCACTGTTCAGAATAAGGAGGTGTTCATATTGGAGAGATGCATTTTCAGCAAAAATCGCTCCGTCGGACCTGAGACCGTTCATAAAACAGAGGTGTTCACTATCGAGAGGTGTTCACAACCAGAGGTTTTACTGTATATCCTAATTTTCGTAGTATCAATCCTAATTGTTTAAAAAATGATATGCTTTAAGCAGTAAGAAACTATCGCCGTATTATGTAATCGGTAATATATTCATAAAATTAATTTTAAGATATTTTAATAAACACGTTCACATTATACAATTACAATAAAGAATATATATCTATAGATGACTATACGACATTACGAACACAAATAATGATTAAATATGAATATTTTTTTTGAAGGTTTTGTAAATTTTAATACTAAATCTATCTATATGTATTGTCGATTCAAATGAAATGATTTATTGCAATGATAATATTTAACTCAAATGTCGCAAATAAAGTTTGTTTTGAAGTTTTTGCTTTGGACGATTGCTTCGTCGAAGTGTAGCGGTGTGACGTCGGAGAAGATCACGTTCTTTACAAACTGGATCAATACCAAATCCATATTTTAAAATATCCATTATAACGACAAAACCAACAACTACTGAGATAGCAATAATAGCAATATAACCAAATGTTTTTGAAACGAACTGGCGAACAATTAGACTTTGTGCTACATTTTGACAATGATCGCCTGTGAAACTACTCGATACACATCTACATTCATAACCAAGGAGTAATGGTTGACAAATACCCTTGTTAAGACAAGTAACATTATGACAATAGTTAACTATACTTTCACAATGGATGCCTATGCGTCCATTTGTACAATTGCAGGAAAAGTGTGTGCTATTAACATTAGTGCAGTTACCTTATATAAAAGAAAATATTTTTGTAATTGTTATGACGAAAAATACGAAAACAAATCAATTATGATTACTTACCGTCATGTAAACAAGTATTTAATTGACATGGTTGAATATTAGTTTCACAATTCGTGCCACTAAAATCAGGTTGACATAGACATGTATAACCAAGAGGAAATGTTAAATTATTCGTACAAATGCCAAGATTCTGACAAGGTTTATAAATATCGCATGGTTGAGATGAAATGTTACAAGAAAGTCCAATAAAATTTGAATCAGAACAGTTAGGTGCAACGAAATTAGATGCAGGCTTTTCATCAATCGTTGGTTTCAATATAGATGTTGTAGTTGATCTACCATTTGCAGTTGTTTTAGCTGAGCTATCAGTTTTACTTGTTGTAGTTGACCTACCAGTGGTAGTTATTGTAACTGAACTATCAGTTTCAGTTGTTGTATTGAACCTACCAGTTGTATTTGTTGTAACTGGACTATCAGTTGCAATTGTGGTAGTTGAACTATCAGTTGTAGTTATTGTAGCTGAGTTATCAGTTGTAGTTGTGGTAGCTGAAATATCTGTTTCAGTTGTTGTATCTGAGCTATCAGTTGCAGTTGTTGTAACTGAAATATCAGTTGTAGTTGTTGTAACTGGATTATCAGTTTCAGTTGTGGTAGCTAAGCTATCAGTTGTAATTGTTGTAACTGAGCTATCAGTTGCAGTTGTTGTAGTGGACCTACCA